TAAATCATTACATTGTGATCTTACATTTTAACATGTTCTGTAAAATATTTTTTTCAGAAAATGCTGTAAGAGACCGAAAAAAGCAATAAATACAGAATGTTTTCATACAAATCAGGGAGAAGGAAGGTTAGGGTCCATGGTAACATTGAGAAGAAAACGTACTGCAGAAGATTATGGAAGGAGCCACATGACTACTGTGTATTCTCCGGAGCCAGAGTTCTCACACTGTTCCTCCTGTCCCTGCCCCAGCTTACCTGAGGCATGGCACAGAGCCCTACCAGGAACAGGGAGGGTGGTAGGTGCTGCCCCCCGTGTCGACCCCTAGAGAGTCAAGTGTGGTCAGATCTTAGGGTGGATCCTCAGAGCCACAGCCCGCACAGTGAAGAGTCCATGCCACTCCAGGACCAGACGACCATCACAGTGACTGAACGTTCCAAATAGTACAACACCTCCTGTTTTGGGGTAAATACCGACAGTCTGAGACTCAACTCAGGAGGATAATCCCAGATTTTCCTAGACCAGATTGTTAGATGTCCTAGAAGTTGAGTCTAGCTAACATTTGGATTGTTCTTTCTTAATATCTCATTTATGGGTCCCAGAGTGTTTTTAAAAGGCCACAACCAACTTGCTCTTTTGTACAGAAACTTTGAAAGAGCCAGGTGAGGGCCACCTGGCTCTTTCAATCGGTAGAGCTCGCAACTTTTGATCTCAGAGCTGTTGAGTTAAAGCCCCGCATTGGGCGTGCAGTCTACTTAAAAGAGATAAATAAGCCAGCTGAGTGCTCTGTGTAGTTTTTTGTGCTTCTGTTTTTGGTGGAGAAGGAAGGGCTAATGGGAAGAGCTGTCCTCCATGTTTCTATCACTCTTTTTTGTATCTTTTTATTTCTGTGGCCACCATTACATTTAGCATAGTGACTACTTCTTCCTTTATATAACAGTATCTGTAATTGACGATGGTTTGATTTCTTAAACAGCATTTCCAATGTATTACACTGTTGATGACATGTCATTGTTTGTAGCTGATTTGACACTTTTCCCAGCCTGTCCCACCAGCAGCTAGCTCATGCAGTGGTGGGCTTTTAAAGATACTTTTAGACAAATGTTTCAGTGTTACAAATGACATTAAATAGCTGGATGCCACTTCATGCCACTTTCACTGATTTATTTATATGCACAGCCACACATACACAGACCGCAGGGAAAGCGAGGTGTGCTTTGTTTCGGCGCACAAATGTGGCTTTATTAAAGTAGTTCAGTTGTAACACTAGCTCCCTCGTCATTAGAGAAATCTGTCATTAAGAACTGGCCAGATGATAAGAGTTTATTCTGCCCAATAGCTTAGACAAATTAGAAGAAAGAAATCTGTTATATTTTGGAATATTGGGTAACTTTATTTTTTTTTCAAGATTTTATTTATTTGACAGAGAGAGACACAGCGAGAGAGGGAACACAAGCAGGGGGAGTGGGAGAGGGAGAAGCAGGCTTCCCGCAGAGCAGGGAGCCCGATGTGGGGCTCGATCCCAGGACCCTGAGATCATGACCTGAGCCGAAGGCAGTTGCTTAACTACTGAGCCACCCAGGTGCCCCGAATATTGGGTAACTTTAAATAGAACATTTTTGAATCCTAAAATTATATAAGACAAAATTCAGTCAAGTGATATTTTCTCATTTTAGCCCCTAAAGTTGTCTTATTATTCAATGATTTTCTTTTTTTTTTCAGAGCATGAAATAAAACATTTTAAAAACTAATAACCTAGAATATGAAGGGTACTTTTTTCCCATAGTCTTTATTTTTTATTTTTATTTTTTAAGATTTTATTTATTTATTTGAGAGAGGGTAAGTGAGAGAACACAAGCAGGGGAAGTGGCAGAAACAGAGGGAGAAGCAAGCTTCCCCCTGAGCAGGGAGCCTGATGCAGGGCTCGATCCCAGAACCCCAGGATCATGACCTGAGCTTGAAATCAGACGCTCAACTGACTGAGCCACCAAGGCGCCCTGCCCTGTCTGTGTTTATTTTTAAAAAAGACTTTATTATGGGGAATTTACATACAAAAGTGGAGCAGAAGAGTGTAATGAGCCCCAGGTACCCCAATATCCATCTTTCCCTCTGACCAGTCCTTCAACCTCGCCCTTGTTCATTCTCTGGAGTTATTCTGAAGCATATTCCAGACATCACATAAGCGTTTCCATCTGTATCTATATAAGATGATTAAAAAAAAAAAAAGACCATGATAATGTTTACAACTTCAAAATGTTTTAGTAATTATGTGATACTAACCAGTATTCAAATTCCTAATGTAAAAAATTTTAGTTTTATTTTATATATGACCGCTTGTCTTTATTAACATGAAAAGTTGCAAAAAATTTGGAGTCCTGTTAAATGTTTATACAATATATTTTAATATCTGCTTCAGATAAACTTGTGCCTCTGACGTAAAATCTCACAGATTCCAAGATACATTTTACTCCCCATCTTTCTGCACAAAAAATTCTCTGACCTCTCTTTGGCAATGTGAGTCTGTCTCTCGTTGGCTTATCAGGATGAGGCCTCTTCTCTCACTTTTCGTGAGTGTCTAATTGGTTTGAGATTTCCTGGTCTTACTCTTCTTGTTTACAGGATTGAGGGAACCTGAACATTCTGTACTGAGGAAACAGAACAGAGGGTTGAATATGGCAGAAGTCCATCTTGCCCCCATGATGGTGCTTTTATGGTATAAGTAATGCATTCATTTGGGGGTGGAATGGAGTGGGCAGGGGTGGGGAAATTCTTAACAGAATTTATTTCCACTGGTGTGAGTATTACAAAGGAACGGCCTTGGGAACTAAGGCAATTTGTAACTTTGGATGAAGTGACTTGCTTTCCGAGAGCACCATTGGACAAAGGAAAGGGACTTCTGTTGGCTGAATAACCCATTTACTGTATCTCCCTAAGAAGATACAGTTCGAATAATAACAGCATAGGAATAACCATAGTCATTTAGAATTTTGTACAGGTCAAATCCCGTTACAACAAACTTCAGTAGGATATCTAGATGTCATATGTCATATTATAGAACATTTTGTTCTTAACTTTCCTAAGGGAGAACAAGCACAGGATTTAACGTTTTGGGGGCATTTTGGCCCCATTCAGCATCCAAATGAATACCATAGCCAGTTTGCCCACGACTGAGACCATGGATGCGAGTTTGCCCGAAGCTGGCTGGCTCCGTGGTGGAGGCTGTGCCTTGAGCTTCACAGCGTGGCCGGTCCTTTAGTCGTGCTGACAAAAAGCGTAGTGGGCAGCAGGATTGCTTGGTGCTTTGGGCCAAGACTAACCATAAATGAAAGATGGAGGCCCGATTCGTGAGGAGCTGGTAGGCCACTGGGGAGAGAGGGGACAATGAAAGTCTGAGTCTGAGGTCGCAGCACAGCCGTGGGGGTGGTTCGGAGTTAAGGAAGGAGCGAAGCTTTTGTGGTACCCAGTTGCTCCTCCCGAGAGGTTAGCACATCACACACCCAAGCCATCAGCAAAAGTCTACAAGTATTTCTGGGGTGTTTTCATTTTTGTAGCTTTCATTGTAACGGGATTTAACCTGTAACATCTTTCCATCAGAGAAACGCAGATTACCCAAGTGAAAGTATATATCCCCCCATTTGTGCTTTCTGTACCTTGTACCAAATGAACTTCACGGGATATTAAAGATGTTATTGAATATGTATAAGTGCAAGTCTTTTGCAGATAGCTTCATGAACGTGGATGTTTGTTTGCCTCTCTGCTGAGGAAGCTAGCGCAGGCACTGTTGTACGGAGCGCGCATGAGAGCATCTGTGGAGTGTGTCCGTGCAGGAGGGATGGGCGCGCTGCCCTAACGCACTGGGGTCTTTGAATGGCGCTAGTGTAGCTGGTGTTGCTTAACGTGGCATTTTTTCCCCTGTCCACACTTTCCACTCTTGGTACAGGTATTTTTGATAAAGCAGTGGAATGGAAAGGTATGTTTTTCATGGGATGTTCAAGAATCTTTTACCTTCACATTTTTAAAAAATTCCCTTTATGGGCTTCCTTCTGTGTCTGGCTTAAGCCAGCCTAGTTTAATTATAACGACATTTCTAGAGGCAATATTTAAGTGTAAAATTTTTACATGATGCTTAAAAGTTTCTGACTTGCTCTTCTCCATCCCCTTATTAAAGATAGTATGAAGATTTTTAAAGCACTTGGGGTGGGGGATTGCTTTTAAAAGATACGATCTGTGACATGAAGAAAGAATGTAGCCAGAGAGTTGCTTATGGTAGTTAAGGATCTAGTTGTTATTGCTAGATCCCTGGTTTCCAACAGTTTGCAGTTTCATTGACGAAAGTGCTATAAAAATATCCTTAATATATTAACATATGAAGTAAGTGTAAGGACTTCATTAAATTCGCATAACCCTCTTTCTGGTGGAGGAAGAATTCAGATTGAGCCAGTGACAGGCTGAGCGAGCAGGGCTAGTCTGTGAAAGTGGCAAGTTGGCAGGCTCGTCGCTCGGGTTCTGTGCCAGGGCTCCTGCCTGCACAGGGCTTTCTTGTCTGTCCCCGTTCTCTGCTGACCATGGCGACTTGCCACGGGTGTGTGTACACTCCCGGTTCTTGCAGGAAGGAAGCTTCCTCAGGATAGTGTTGACTTGAAGGAGCCACCCAGCTAAATTGGGGAGACCACTTGACCCTTTGTCTTGGGAAGGCCTGATTGGAAGAGCGCCCCCTATTGACTTTCCTCCAACAATGCCATTGTGAAAAGGTACCTGGCTGTTTGGGGTCAACAGCACATTCCTTTTCTCGTAAAGAAATGAAGCGATTCCTCGGGTGTTGGTCCTAGTGCCGGACGCTGGTGGCGCATTTTACTCTGCCGCTGGTGACTTCCGTGGGTTGAGGAGCACTCGTTAAAGATCTGTGATGTTTCGTAAACCTTGACTGTTGTGATGGTTGCAAAGTTAGTGTGTGTTTGGTGTTCCCCATCTTACCAGAAGTGTTTGCTTTTTCTCATTCGTAGAGGTCCTGTAATAAAGAGGGATCCGAACAAGCTCAGAAAGAAAATGAATTTCAAGTAAGTAATTAAGTCCGTTCTGCATCTGTCTGAGGTTGTAAGCGGTGTTCGTAGTGCCAGTTTGCTCGCTGCCCCCAGAGGGGCCGAGCCGATTCTCAGAGGATGGGCTCTTGCCACGTGGGGAGCCTCCTCCGTAAGAACGAGCGTGCCCGGCTATTTTTAGTTCCTGCTGAATGTAGGCAGCAGACGTGTGGTGTCCTTATGGCAATCTGAACAGCATTTGGGGTGCCGAGAGAAGGCGGTTTAGGGAGCGCTTGTGCGTGACAGGACGTGGAGGCAACCTGGCTCGGGTGCTGTGCCTCTGACCCCCTCCTTCTGTCCGCATGACACCGAAGCCGGCATGGCCCGGGTGAGCAGGAGTGCCTTTTCCCACCCGCCGGCCCCTGGTCAGAAGGGCCCCTCTCTGAAATGCTTATGTTCAGAAGAGCTTGAGGTCAAGAGCACTGATGTGTCCACCTGGTCCCTCTTTGAGGCTCAGAAGTGGGGAATCTAGCGCAGTGATGTCCACATGCCAGGGCTAAACCACCTTCGAGCACACTGGCCCAGTGTATGCACCCCCCCACACACATAGGTACACTGGGTTTTACTCGCTGTAGACTATTGAAATTGTTGGGAAATGGGAATTAAAAAGAGGTGAGATCATAAAGGAATAAAAGTACTAATGTTTCCCCCTCACGTGTCGGTGGATTGTTCACGGTGCACCCTCTGTGGAGGGTGGATCTAAAACGTGTGCTCTGGGTGGCACTGACAGACGCCACCGGGTGGGAAGCGATGGACATGTTTTCCGCCATCCTGAGTCCTCGGTGTATAGGCCTGTGTGTGTCCTGGTGGTCGACAAGGCTGGGCCACGGGGGCCTCCGCGATGCCAGACCCACAGCGCGTTCTCAGTTCTGGTTAACTTGGCTTCCCCCTGCCCTTTCTGAAACGTTCTCTTCCCCTCCTCGGCTCCTTTCTGGGCCTGACCTCCTGTTGTCTGAAGTGCTCCACAACTTGCCCGAGGCCCTCTTCCCGTGCTGCCCCTCTGCGCCGTCCGCCCCCCACCTTCCCTGGGCCGTGTCGCCAGGTCCAAGGCTGAACACATGGTCTCCACCCCACCCCCTCGGAGGAACCTGTGTCTCCTTTCTCTGCAGATGGAAAGCCAGGAGGCCCTCCGACACCCTCCTCTCCGTCACCCTGTATCCGAACCATGAGCCCATTGTTTCCCTGTGGGCTCTACCCTGGGTCTGTATGCTCGTCCCTTCAGTACCACCCACCTCCCTAGGCCAGGCTGCCCCCGTCTCCTCTGGGGGCTCTACTTCCACTCCTGTTCCAACTGCTCCTCTGATCAGGTCAGCCTGTGGCCTGACATCCGTCAGCGCTCCCTGTGCCCCAGGCCAGCTTCCCCTGGTCTGACCCTGCTGGGCTTTCCATTCTCTCTGGTGTCCTTCCCCATTCTTGCTCTCCAGCCACGTTGTCCAAAGCTGTGTGGTTTTCTTCGCAGTTGCTGTTCCTTCCAGTTGGAATGCTCCCAACTTTCCCACCCGCACTTCTGCTTGTAATTAGGACCTCACTCAAGGGTTGCTTCCCCACGGAGTCCCCCTGCCCTCTCGACTAGGTGTGTGTCTCTGTTTCATGCCCTCACCCCAAGCACCATCTGTCTCTCCTCTGTGCTTCCTCTGGCTATAAGTTTTCAGCATGATGCGATTCGTGTCTGCCTCCTGTTCTTGAGAGGGTCCATGCTCAGGGCAGGACCTCGCCGCCTCTTGCTGTCTCGCTGTGGCTATCAAGCCCGCTATCCGGTGGGGCGCTGATAGAATTATCGAATGTTGGCTGCAGCCGGAACTCGTGCACAACTCTGGAACAGTCTGCCCCTTGCCTGCTGGTGCACATACTCCTTGTCCCTTCCTCTCCTCAGTCCACGATGTTCTTTGAGCCCCTTTGGATGGCTGGCCTTTGTCTGCAGTCTTTGTCCCCTCTCTTCTGAATGTGTCCTGTGCTAACTGGCCTCTCTACAGCCTCACTGTCCCAGAGACCCCTCCCCTGCAGCTCCCTGAGGGAGGATGTTTTCCCATCACATCCTGGTACTTGGCGGGCGGGGGGTGGGGGGAACGGATGTCTTCTTGGTTTTCCTCATTCCTGCTTCCAAACCATTTCTCCTCTGTTGAAAACCCTCCTGAGAGCTACCCTGGTTCGGTGAAGATCTGGCTTGGTCTTGAACCCGGTCACCTTGCCCTCTCTGGGCCCGCACCCGAGCAACTGGGCATCATTAGAGGGAAACCCCATGGTCGGGAGGACTACCAGCCTGTCTGGGAGGCTTGCCTTCCTGACCGGGCCCCTCCCTGCCCGGCTGCTGTGATCCCGGCCCTCATCTTCCCACTTCCAGCCCTGGAGCCTTTCCACAGGCTGGTCCTTCCCTATGCTCCTGACTCCAGGTCTCCTCTCTCCTCTCCCCCTGTCCACGGGCGTGTTGCTGCTGTCCCTCACAGGGGACAGAGCTTGCCGGCCTTGCCCGCATCTGCTCCCTCTCTGTAGCAGGATTTCTTTTTTTCTTGGAAAAAAGTGTTGAATGTTTGGGACAGCACAGAATAACATAATAAACACCCTTACCCCACTGCACAGAATTAGTTACTGATTTTGTTATATTGCTTGATTTCAGTCTTTCTTGTATACATTTATTTATTTTTAACTTTTTATTTCAGAAGAACTGTAGACATACAGGAAGTCGGCAGAGCTAGTACAAAGAGCTCCCCTGCACCCCCTCCCCAGTCCCTCTGTCACTAACACCTTGCACAGCCCTGATCAACGCCAGCACAATAATAGCAGCTAAGCTGCAGGCCTTATTTGACTTTCCCAGGTTTTTCCACTGACATTCTCTTGTCCTGTTCCAGGGTGTAGCCAAGGCCCCACGCGGTGTAGGCTGCTTGTCCTCCCTCGTCTGTTCCATCTGCCTCCATGTTACTTCCAGTCCCGAGGCTTGTTAAGCACATGGATCAGTTATTTCATAGAATGTTCCCTTAGTGTAGGTTCGTCTCACCTTTTCTCGTGACTGGAATGAGGTTATATATTTTTGGCAAGAATATCACAGAAATGTTATTCTGTCTTCTCCAAAGTTCATAATCTCGATATTCTTATTACAGGATTTTAATTTTTATAAAGAAATACAACTGTGTAGGTAAAGTGAATTGTCAGTCTGCACACCTCTGCCTCCCCAGCAGTCCCCCTTCCTCTTCCATTCGCTGATCCTCCCCTGCCCTCCTGTCCCCTGCCCCATCTGGTCTCACACCAAGGACTTCCGCGTTGCCGGACCCAGCGGCCACCTTACCCTTCTCCCCTGTTTCCCCTGAGCAGCCGGCACAGCTCTCGCCTTCACCCTCGAGGCCGCCCTCCTGCCCCCATCTGAATCAGGGCTTCACGTGGTGGGTTGTAAAACTTCGAAGGGCATGTGAAATGTCAGCATTTTTGCTGCTTTTTAAAATGAAATAGGCTAGAAAATACTAGAAAGTCTTGCACAGTGGTGAGCATGTAAGTTTGTTTTAGGGGTTGGGTGTGCTGGATAGCTTGCTGTGTAACATGGGCTCCTTCCCATGGGGACAGTCACTGGGAGTGCTCAGGCTCTGTGCGGGTTCCTCTTCGGTGGCCATGCGTCAGCCTTAGATGCTGCGGGTGTGCCGAGAACGTCATGGCTGGCCCAGACCTCCCGGCTTCTCCGAGCTCACTTTGTCCTCCTCTTCCCTGATTGCCCGCTCCGCTGGGGGGGTGGTCTCCCAGGTCCCTGAATGTGCTTTTGCTTCTCACCCCTCAGGTGTCTGTGTCACCGTTTCCCTAGAAGCAGCCACCCCAGTCCGCCCCGCCCTGTCCCCGCGGTTATCGCAGCCTACGCTGGCCTTGTGCATTCGTGTCTGCTTCTCGCTCGGGAAGGGGTCCCTGGGTCGTGCCTTGTTCTTGTTTCCCCGGGGCTTAACACAGTGCCAGGCACATAGGGGACCTCCAGTAAATATTTTTGGGCTAAAGATAGATGAATGTTTCTGAATCCAAAGCAAATAGTTTCAAGTGGAGGTAGGACCTTCTGTCCCCAGGAAGTGCGACCAGCTGTGGTTGGGTGGCCGGTGGCTGCGCCCAGGCGAGCTGGGGCAGAGGACTGGGTCGTGCGGGTCCCACCCTGTTCTTTACTATGCTGGCTTCCTTAAATAGCAAGCAGGAAGGTGTTTGGAGACCTGGTAGTTACAAAAAGGCTTCCAGTAGTTGATGCACTCATTCTAAGATTACCTACTATCCCTCTTAACCTCTCCATTTTTCTTGCTTCTTAACCTGCCCATCTTTCTTAAGTGTTTTCCTTCTTTTCTTCCTCCAAATTCTTTCCTCCACACGCAGCTCCCCTTTCTCCGTACTGGGAATAAATGCTGAACTGCGGTATTCCATGTGAACAAAGAGATTTCTTGTTTACGGTGTTCAGAGAAATGCCAGAGAGAATTGCAAAGCTCTCAAGTCTCCGTCCACCTTCTCTCCACCATCCCGGTGACGGGTTGACTTGGCTCTGGAGGACTCCGGGCAGCGTGTTCAGCCCAGCAACGTCACGGCTTTGTACTGAGTGCATGCGATGCCCAGCGTGCTAAGCCTCCTGAAGGAACGCGGTGGGGCTTCACCTCTGTATAAAGTTTGCAACTTCAAACTCGAAGGCCCTTTAGGACCGGGCACAGATATGTGTTTTATATGGAGCCCACCCTGATGCCCTTGGGCTTTGTCACTTTACATGGAGGGAAACCGAAAAACAAATTTTAATTGTGATGAAACCTGGATACCTCGACGGAAGAAATCCTGACTGAACTCTGAAATTGTGGGTGGGTAGGGGGGCGTACAGCTGGCTAACGGCTGCGCAACCCGCCTGCTGTCACCCCTGGAGCCCTGGGGTCCCGCTGTGCCCAGCCTGCCTTCACCATGGCATTTCGCTTCGTGCAGGTTCCAGGTGGAGAGTTTGAGAGATGCCTTGCAGACCTGTGCACGCTCTTCTGCAGGCGTCTCTGGTGCTGGACGTGGGGCCAGCAGTGACTGTACCTCCTCCAAGGGGTTCTCCTCTCAAACCCTGCTCTCAGCTCTGTGGACCTGACAGATCAGTGCTACGTTTGTACTGTCTGTGTCTTAGTCTGCTCAGGCTGCTGTAACGGACTCCCCGGGGCTGCCCAGACATTTATTTCTGGAGGCTGGAGGTCTGAGGTCTGGGTGCTGGGTTCCTGGCCTGCAGGTGCTGCCTTCTCCCTGTGTCCTCACGTGGTGGAGCGATGGAGGGAGGGATAGCAGGCTCTCTGGGACCCTTCATATAAGGACGCTGATCACATGGACACCCTGCACTCATGACCTCATCTATACGTAACCACCTCCTAAAGGCCCATCTCCAGACACCATCCCACTGGGGGTTAAGGCTTCAATGCGTGAATTTGGGGAGGACATAGTTTAGCTCATAGCAGTCCTAGATACAAAACTGCAAATGAGGGGTGCCTGGGGGGCTCAGTCGTTAAGCATCTGCCTTCGGCTCAGGTTACGATCTCAGGGTCCTGGGATCGAGCCCCGCATCAGGCTCCCTGCTCTGCGGGAAGCCTGCTTCTCCCTCTCCCTCTCCCCCTACTTGTGTTCCCTCTCTTACTGTGTCTCTCTGTCAAATAAATAAATAAAATCTAAAAAAAACCCCAAAACTGCAAATGAGTAAATAAAATTAGGCCTCACAAGGTGGTCAGACCACAGTTGTAGGTGACACAAGACAGTGGCTAAACTATAATTGTGGGAGGTCACCGGCTGACAAATCTGTTTGCTCCCCCAAATGTGAGAGTGACCAAATTACTTTTTCCTTTAATGTGGTTCCATGTCCTTTGGAAAAGTAACTTCTCTGTTTTCTTCTCTGTAACTTTAGCATCCTGTCATTGCCTGAGTAGGTCCTGTTGTGTGTGTGGTTTTTTTGGTTTTGTTTTTTAGATTTTATTTATTTGAGAGAAAGGAGGGGGGAGCACAAGCAGGGGGAGCGGGAGAAGCAGACTCCCCGCTGAGCAGGGAGCCCCATTCAGGGCTTGATCCCAGGACCCTGAGATCACGACCTGAGCTAAAGGCAGACGCCTAACGACTGAGCCATCCAGGCACCCTGCGTGTGTTTTTATAACCTGAGTTTAAAGAGCTATTTCACTTTGGGCAGTGTTTCTGCAGGATCATAGTCCCCAGGGTGCATTTCTTAAGGGGTGAATAAGGATCACCTGAAAGCATTTTCTAGCTACACTTGCCGGCCCCTCCTCAGACACAGTGGCCTAGAGGCTAATTTGCTGTTTAATGGCAAAGTACTAAGGAGTGAATTTGAACTGAGACCAAAAGATAGTATTTGTTTTTTTTTAAGATTTTTATTTCAGAGAGAGAGAGAACACAGGCAGGGGGAGAGGCAGAGGGAGAGGGAGAAGCAGACTCCCCACTAAGCAGGGAGCCCGATGCGGGGCTCGATCCCAGGACGCTGAGATCATGACCTGACGCTTAACCGACTGAGTCACCCAGGCGCCACTAAAGATAGTTTTTGAAGGCAGGATGATTCTAGATCCCACATGGGTTATTAGGACTGAAGATAGCATATGAGCATCATTGGGTTTTGGCAAGAGACAAACATTAAAATGGCAGCAGGGAGAAGATTGGGAAGAGCAGAGCATAGATCCTGTGAATGCTCCATGCCAGGGTGCTCTTTGGGCCCAAAAAACAGGCCCAGGTCTGACAGTCGCCCTTAAGGATCGGTTTGGGGGCAGGAGGCCCCTGTGGCCGGTGCACTCCTGCTCTGTGCTGACCAGAATGGACAGCATATTGGTGGCCTTTGGGAAGATGTCATGGGTGGAACTCAGAGAAGTTGTAAAATAAATGCAAGCAAGAAAATACCAGTAGACACTGTTCTATTTTTGGAATCAGTGACTCGGTTAAGCTTGACTTTTCAATCTCATCAGTATAGTGTGATGGTTGCAAGCGCGGGTCCTGCAGATTACAAGATGTTGACCTGTTTCTTCGTATTTAAAGTGGGGCGCCTGGGTGGCTCAGATGGTTGAGCATCTGCCTTCGGCTCAGGTCATGATCCCGGGGTCCTGGGATCGAGTCCCACATCGGGCTCCCTGCTCAGCGGGAAGCCTGCTTCTCCCTCTGCCTCTCTCTCTCTGTCTCTCATGAATAAATAAATAAAATCTTTAAAAAAAAAAAAAATGAAGTGGGGGAGGTGCTGGTAGCGCCCGATGGTAGGGATGCCGGGGGTGGAAGTGCTTGTGGGGCCTGCACGTAGTCAGCCCTCAGTAAACATCCGGTGTGTTGCTGTCTGTTTTAGGGGGCCGAGGCCATGGTTCTGGAGAGCGTTATGTTTGCCATTCTTGCAGAGAGGGCGCTTGGGCCAAAGCTCTACGGCATCTTTCCCCAAGGCCGCCTGGAGCAGTTCATCCCGGTAAGATGTGTTCTCGACTGGTCAGTTGACAGACGCCACAGACAGAAGACAGGTTCTTTGTCTCGGTGCTGCGGGAGCCTGAGGGGTCGTGGGCGGACACACTAAATGGGACTTAACATTATGAAACTGTATCAGAAATAAAGAAAAAACAGATTTCTCTTGAATTTACATTAGAACCTCTGTCTTTCCTGCAAAGATGTTCATCCAAATGAAAGCTATATATGAAACCCAACATTCCATTGTCCCCTGAAGCTGCTTGCCCTGAACCTTTCCCCTTTCCCCTTGTTCCTCTCAATTTGGGGGCCACCTTTAGAACTCAGTGCAGAGCCCCGTGGTCCTGGCCACACCGAGCCATACCTGGGTCTTTGCCCTGTGGGGCCGCCACTGTTCTTTGCCTTGTCTCCCAGCTCACTCCCTCCATTGGAGTCTCCCCAGCTCCCAGGTGCCGTCAGCTGTCAGCTGATGTTGCAAGGCCCAGCTCAAATCCTGTTTCCAAGAGTCAGGACTGTTTGCCTTTTCTTGCTGTCCTGAGGCATTTCTGATGCTGCTGTAACGTCTCCACCTGTGTGAGCTCCTCGAGGACCAGGGTCTCCTGCCCTGCCTCACGTGGCCACCTCTGTGTGCGGGCTTGCCCTGTATAGTTGTGCAGTGGTTAAGCACAGGGACCCTGGCTGAAGGGATGCTCTGCTTGCCAGGACTCAACCTGTTTCCAGCGGAGGCTGGAGGAAGGGGTCCTAATTGTCTAATCTCCACCGCCCAGGGATAGGAGCCTTCTTGGGACCTGTGTCCCAGGAGGGGTGCCCTCTGCTGGTTGGTGCAGTGGTCTCATGTGTGCGGCTGCCAGCCTGGGGCTGTGCCGAAACCAGCAGACCTTCCGTCTTGGCCCCGGCACCTGGCTGGCCACTTGGCAGGGTTTTCATTTGCAACTGTCCCATAACATCCGACTGGTATGAGAATCAAATGAGATAATAAAGTATCTGAAAGCATGGAAAGTCTGAAACACTTCCTGTGGTTAGAAGTGGCGACGTCTTAAGAACATAATATTGAGTGATAAAACCAGATTGTGGAAGACTGCAAAGAGTATACCATTTTAATAAAGCCCACTGAAAGCAAACTAAAAACTGTTTAAAATATACATGTGTGGTAAAACTTCTCTTTTTAGGGAAGGTAAGTGAGCACAACCCAGAATAATGGGACTGTCCTGCCCTGGACCAGAATCCGTGGGTTTTAGCATCTGTGGGATTGATACTGTTTTACTTCTGAAATTCTGTCTTCTTTTGTATATGTTTTATATAGTGAAGACTTTTTAAAGTTCTGTTAAAGAGTAGGTTGAACCACATGAAACTACCAGTTATCAACTGTTTTTGACCCCAGAAATGGTGATTTCATTTGGCTCAGCCTGCTAGTGCGTGTTATTTCCAGGTTCACTCCTGGAATGGATGCATGGAGTGGGATGCATTCCACCTCGTCTGGTTCCTACAGCCGTTTTTCAGAGGGCACAGGAGAGTAGTGACTCTAAGGACCTGGTCAGTCTCCTATTGCTCTTTCCCTGTGCTGGGAAAGGAGCTTAGAACTCTGAAATATGTTCATCTTTGAGCATGGTTAGCCTGACTTTCCACAATGTCAAACAAAGTAATGGCATTTTTTTAACAGAGCCATGTGAAAGCTGAGTGAGCTCCCACTAGGAGCTGAGTCCCATGTCCTTAACCTTGGCCCGATCACTTGACAACTTGGAGGATTCCCGGGTGGAGGAGGACGCAGTTGAGCCTGCTGCTTCCAGAAAGCTCTGAGCTCTCGTCATCAGGCTCCCGCCATTTGTCGAGACCTCCTGGCTGGGTGCCGGCCCAGGGCCCTTGCCTGCCTTGTCTGCTCTAGGTCAGAGCAGCCCTGCAGGGACTTCATGTCATGTTTCTCATTTTATAGAAATCAGAAAGTCAGACACAGAGGTCTGAGTAGCGTGCCTTTGGCCATGTGACTTTGAAATGAGGGTTAAAGCCAGAATTTGAGCTGGTTTTCTCTAACTTGGAGGAATACCATGGCTGTGGCACTCAGGATTTTCAGAGGCATGCCTCTTTGGGCTTCTATAGGGGAGCAGTGCATGTGGAAAAGACAGACTGGTCTTAGTTGATTGTGATTTCCTCGGGAGGAGGAGCTGGGCAAGCGCGTGGTGGGGGCTTGGCCCCTCTGTTTCTTCGTTCAGCTGTGCGCTCTGAGAGCCTGCTCCGTGCCGGGTGGGCTGCTGCATGCGCCACCATGGACGAGGGGGTGCATGGCTCATCCTGAACTCCTGGCCGTGCTTCTCAGGAGGACCTGTGCTGAGCACCATCTCTTGGCTGCGATGGGTCAGGCCAGGGTTTCCGAGCCGCTGAAGGAGTTGGACACGGGCTCATGCAACAACCCTGAGACCCGGAGCTTTTAGCGGGGAGGAGGGCATCCTCTAGTGAGGGTACAGAGAAGAGAGGGGGAGTCTGCCTAGATGCTTGTGTGTGAGAAGGACCTTCTCATGGTTCAAAGGGTTCAAAATAAAATTGGCTTGTGGAGGTGGCCCCCTGCTTGCTGAGAAATGCCCCGGCGGTCGCTGGGTCACTGTCCGCGGGGCGCGTTCCGCAGGGAGTTTCGTGCGCCAGCTGAGACAGACTGGCTGCTAGGTCTTAGCCTGGTGTGATCGCACCCCTAACCCTCCAGGTTCCCCGGAGAAATGCTATTTTCTGACCCCCTTGTTCATTTCAGAGCCGGCGCTTAGACACTGAAGAATTAAGTTTGCCAGATATTTCTGCAGAAATAGCTGAGAAAATGGCCACATTTCATGGTATGAAAATGCCATTCAATAAGGAACCAAAATGGCTTTTTGGAACAATGGAAAAGTAAGTGGTCAAACCGCTTGGCTCTAACTCCGTTTTCTATTAGCGGCTACCAGAGGCGCAGAGTGAGTACTCGTTTGCCGTGGTGGCCGGAGGTCTTCCTCTGCTCCGCCGAGCGGGTGGGCGGGCAGGGGACAAGCTTTCTCCAGGGCCTGGAGCCCCGGGCTGTGTCCCGGGCCAGGGGCTTCCCACTGCCCTCTCGTGATTATACTTGACAGGAGCCCCGCCGGTGAGCCGAGCAGTGAGTTTTGTTCCCCCTTTTTCTGCCAGATACCTGAACCAAGTGCTGAGGATTAAGTTTGCCGGGGAGCCGCGGGTCAAGCAGCTTCACCGTCTCCTCCACTACAACCTGCCCCTGGAGCTGGAGTACCTGAGGTGAGGAGCCGTCGCGAGCGCAGTTGGGGTTTTCTGAAACAAAACCCGAAGCAGAAGCCACGGGGGCAGGTGGGGGAATTGTTCAGCCCAAGCTCTGGCCTGCGAGTAGCGGCGCTGCACGGTCTCCGGGGCGCACTCACCCCGAGCGCGAGAAGGCACAGCTCTCGTCACTCACGGTGTGAGCGGCGCCGAGGACGTGGAGACCAGGACGGCCTTCGGGGCGCTTGTGTCTCATTAGGAGAGACGGAGACAAGCAGACGCGTCCCCTAACGCCAGGTGGTGATGGCAGGTGTGACGGAAACCAGGGCGGGAGCAGACTGAGGAGGAGGGTCGTGCTCTGGGCCGGGAGGGCCCGCCCGGGAAAGAGGGGCTGCAAGCGGGGCTGGCCTGGAACTCCGGGTTGCGCTCCCGGGGCTCGCGGGGCCAGCGCTGCAGGGAGGCTGCGTGGCGGTGCCGAGCACCAGTCTTGTCCCGGGCGCACCGAGACATCTGACCTGCGGTATGATTCCCTTTGCAGGTCGCTGCTTGAATCCACCCCCTCTCCGGTTGTGTTTTGTCATAATGACTGTCAGGAAGGTAAGAATCGCTGCCTGTTATGTGAGGCTGGGTGTGCGTGTCTCCTTAGCGGCCTCCAGTGTGTGTGACGAATGCCAGGTGTCCGCGCCGAGGGGAGTACATGCATGAAATAATGGGACGGCCACACAGTGGAGTATTGTATGACTATGAAAAGGAATGAGGTCGTTTTTATGCAGACCATCAGAAAAATCTCCAGGATATATTAAGAGAAAAAAAGCAAGTTTTAGAAAAACACATGGGGTGTTCTCCCATTTTTGTAAAAAATATATTCATAGAAGAAAAAATGAGAACATTCACTAAACTGGGAGCTCGGATAAAGGACTGAAACCTTCTAAGTCACATGTTTGTTCAGTGTTTAACTCTGGTGAACACGCAACTTTGATAATCTGAGAATGCAGTAAGAGGTGACCGCCCTGCTCTGTCCTGGGGGCCTTGCCCTGGCCACACCTTGCAGCTAATCGAGGCCATCTGCTCTCCTTGGGTTTCTCTGCCTTTCATAAAGTACGATGCCGGGTACCCCTCCGTGTGACTTCAGACGGAGGCCGCATCTAGCTGGGCAGCTCCCGCTGGTGCCGCGGTGGGGCCGGGCTTTGGTGAGGCTTTGCCTTGCTGTCCCTGTCCTTTCCATCACAGCTGGCTCACATCCACCCTCGGGCCCTTTGCCAGGCTCAGCCGTTTGTTTTTAATTTTGACAACAGTCCCTGTTGAAGACCAGTCATCAATCAGACATGAGTTTGATAGTTTATTAATTAGCTGATCACGGTCGGGAAAGTCGAGCAGGGTGTAGACTGTTAGTGGGCCATAGTCAGCTGCAAGCTGTCATCAGCAGGGTCTGTGGGAGGTCTGCTGGCCAGTGAAAGGCTGGAGGAGGTGGGGCTTGTACATTTACTTTGTTCTGCTGCTCTGAGCATCTCCTTTTAATGTCCCCTGGAAGTGGATTTTGTGTGCTGAAAAGCCTAGAAAGAGCACCTCCTGCAGGAACCCGGGAGAGGGCGTGGCCAAAGAACTAGCAAAGCCTGGCTCACCAGTGCTCACCCGCCAGCCTGGTAGTGACCAATGCTGGACATTGTGTCACCTGTGGGAGGTCTTGGAACGGATGCCTGAAGAGCCAGTCTGCCGCCACTTCACTTCGGGCCCAGAATTCAGCCGTACAGGAAATATGGTGGAGGGAACGCTGCCTGTGGTCTCCTTGGAGAACCAGGCGAGGCAAAGCATCGGGGCCAAGTAGGGTCCACAGAGCCCGGTGCGGCTGAGCACACCTGCGGCGTCCTCCTCAGGGAGGACAGCAGGACACAGCTTCCTAGCTGCTGGGGAGGTTGGGTCGGCTAGAACTCCAGCGTGCCAGTCAAGCATTTTCCTTTGTGCCCACGTGTGAAAAGTCTGGGGAGTGCTGCCCCAGCATGCTGAGGGAGAGCCATTCTTGTTCCTGGGTGAGCGTGGGGCCGTGTTACTCTCGGGCTGTCAGTGTGACCCAGGGCCTTCTGCCGAGGGCTGGGGCTGGGGGTGCGGTGCTGCTCCCGGCACTCCACGGCCTGTGCTCATTCTCTGCATGGTTGGGGTTCCCTGACAGGATCAGAACCACTCTTGGCCCTTCTGTTCAAGAACTCGTGCCTTCGACTGGGCAACACAGCATAGTAAATGGCATGTCATCCGAACCTTTTTGCAGGTAATATCTTAATGCTGGAGGGCAGAGAGAATTCCGAAAAGCAGAGACTGATGCTCATCGACTTCGAATACAGCAGTTATAATTACAGGTATGAAACAGCTACAGGAGGAGAGGGGAGCCTTGCCACAGGACCCTGGGAGATAGTGCACTGCCCCAGAGGCCTGCAGCCCGGGCCTGTTCTTCGCTGGTAGTTGGGGGGGCAGCAGTGAGCGATCAGAACTCAGAATTTGGTGCTTTGTTGGCTTCAGAGATCAGAGTACTGAGTGCAAGAGAATGTTCTTGAACAACTGCCCCTGCGTGGTGGGTCGGTTGGGTGGCACTTTTGTAGCATCAGCTCTGGTTCTGGTAACCGCCCTGTTGGCTCTTCCTGTCCCTGAGGCAGTCGTCCTTGGGGGACCTCAGGAAGGACAGTTGTTGCTGGGAGGGATGCTCACAACTCGGCCTTTTCCCTTCTCTGACCAGGGAGCCTCATGGTGTGGCAGTTTGCCCCCTTCTCTGCAGCTCTTACCTCTTTTTCAGGGGATTCGACATTGGGAATCATTTCTGTGAATGGATGTACGACTATAACTATGCAAAGTACCCTTTCTTCAGAGCGAACATCCTGAAGTACCCCACCAAGAAACAACAGGTAGGGGACGGCTGTGTGTAGGCTTGGTAGTAGCCAAACTGCAGGAGTCCATTTTATGCAGTTAGTATTGATTGCATCTTCATTTTTAATGACACACCCCCCCTTTTATTTTTTAAAGATTTTGTTTATTTGAGAGAGAGAGAGAGATTGCGAGAGAGAGCACAAGCAGTGGGGAGAAGGAGAAGCAGACTCCCCGCTGAGCAGGGAGCCCAATGCGGGACTCGATCCCAGGACCCCTGAGATCATGACCTGACCCGAAGGCAGATGCTTAACCAACTCAGCCACCCAGGCGCCCCTAACGACACCCTTTTCAAATCGCAGAATGGTTAAGCAAACCCTTTTGCTCTAAAATGTTATTTTGTGTCAGGACACAAACCTGACATTTTAATCCCTGTGCCAGAGATAACCTGTATTCATTGAGCTAGAGAGCACAGTCTCTTTTGTAGTTCCTTCTAGTTTTTTCCAAGAAGTCCAGCCTCTGACCTGCGTCCTGGCTTTCTTTGTGGGGATCGCGGTGTTTTCCTGTGTGTTTCACTCTGTGCAGACAGAAGTAGCCTTTGGGCACCATGACTTGGTAGCTGCTGTGCTGTTAGAGTTCCCTTTCCTGTCCTGAGTATGGGGGGGGAGGGCTGTGTGAAGAATCACCCCCTGGGTGTCCTGGGATCGAGCCCCGTGTCGGGCTCCCTGCTCAGCGGGCAGCCTGCTTCTCCCTCTCCTGCTGCTTCTCCTCACCCTGCTTGTTCTCTCTCAAATAAATAAAATCTTAAAAAAAAAAAGAATCGGGCGCCTGGGTGGCTCAGTTGGTTAAGCGACTGCCTTCGGCTCAGGTCATGATCCTGGAGTCCCGGGATCGAGTCCCGCATCGGGCTCCCTGCTCAGTGGGGAGTCTGCTTCTCCCTCTGACCCTCTTCCCTCTCATGCTCTCTCTCATTCTCTCTCTCAAATAAATAAATAAAATCTTTAAAAAAAAAAAAAAAGAATCACCCTGTGGGGAGTTCCTCCTTGGGAGCCCCTACTCCATTCCTCAGCCCACCGTTGGAGCCGTGGGTTGAGGGTGAGTGGGTAGCGATGTGGAAGCAAGCAGGGCTGGGGAGAGGGTCCCCCGAGCCTGTGCGGGGCAGCAGCCCACCCCCCTCCACAACCCCTGCTACGGGACAGCCCTGCTGGCTCAGCCGCATATCAGAGCGGTCAGGGCCGCCATTCAAATGTTGACTTGCTGTGGGACCAAAACCCCATTGCCCTCTTCCTGCCGCGCAGGAAGGTCGACTGTGATGAGCTTGAGTACGTCCCAAGCAGAGCGGCCAGGCTGGTTCTGGGCCTCGAGGTCATGCTGTGTGAGGAGGAAGGGTGTGGGGTCTTTGTAAAAGACTTCGTAAAAACTGGGCAGCGCCAGAGGTGCCAACTCTCCAGCCAGGAAGAGGGGGCTTTCTGCCAGCGAGAAGGCAGGTTCCGGCGTGGTGGGTGGCGACGGACGGCAGAGCTGTGTGACTGGCTGCACCGCGCAGCCACGGAAATGAAGGAAGTGCCTTTTCGATTTTCTGAGCAGTTTTAAAAGTCACATAGAGGTGTTGGTCTTCATTAGCTACCTTTTCTGCACCTAGTAGGTAATCTCATGCTTTTCTCTCTTTAGTCCACTAATGGGATGTTTTAAAATGTTAAACCGTCTTGGAATTCCTAAAATAAACCATTTGAATGAGGTGTGTTATTTTGGAACGCTCTGCTGGGTCCAGTTAGTCTCTTATTTAGGAGTTTGATGTCTCTGCACATACGTGAAACGGGCTTTTAACGGTCATTTAAAAAATTATTATTCATATCTGGTTTTGGAATAAAAATTATGCTAGTCTAATGAGTTTGGTGTCCCTTTGTAATTTTCTGGAACAAATTTATATGAGATGTTCTTTGAAAATTTTGGTAGACTTTGTGAGAGAGTGTGGGCCTAGAACTTTTGGGGAGGGACGGTCATTAGTTACCATCTCTTAGGTATCGATCTATTCAAATTTTCTGTCTTCATTGCCTATTTGAGCATTTAGTATTTCCCAGAAATTAACCCATCTCGTGTGGCAGTTCAAGCATGGGTTTTAAAAACCGTGTCTGGATTTGAACCCAGATCTGCCACTGTTCACTGTCACCTGCTGACTCTGTGCTTCAGTTTCCTCGTGTGCAGAAACAAAGGCTCAGGATGGTGCCCGCTACATAGAATTTACTGGGCATGAGCCATCCCCTTGCCTTGCCAGGGTTATTCCTTCCAGAACGTCCTGCTAGGATGGCGCTCAAACTGGAACGCTGCTTGCTGGTGGGAGGGGGTCGAGTGTGAAAGCCACCTGGGAGAAGGCAGTTGGGCGAGGTGTTGGCATTCCAACTAGGTGATCAGTCAATGGCGTTCTTTTGGGTAGAGCAACTGCCTGCTGTTTCCTTATTTATAAAAGAAAGCGAGTGGTGGTTTGCTGTGTTCTGGTGCCGTTAGGTATAGTGTGAGGTACTGAAGAACGGGGTCTCCTAAATCCTGATGCATGGGCAGACTACACGTGGGACCTGGTAGAACCTCTTCTCCAAACCAGAATTAGGTCTTGCCGATTTATGGACATAAAAGCATCACCACGGCAGCTCGCAGGTGGAAGGCCCCTTCGCCTGGTCCAGTCAGCTCCCGCTCTGCTGGAGCCTCTGCCAGTGACCTCGGGCTCCCTGGCGCCCGTGTGGAATGCCAGCCCGTGTGCAGAGACGTGTGACATAGGCTTACCCTGCTTTGCGACCAGGCCGTGGGAAACATGGGCGTGGAGTAGATTCCTCCTCGGTGATTTTGTCCAGAAGTAGTAGTGGTTTCCTGTGCTTGTCTTGCCGACAGTGTGGCATCGAGTGCGGTAGAGTTCTGCCAGGAAGCCGGAGATCACTGCCGCACTGGTGAGCTTCCTCCAGGCTCGGCCGGCCGTGCGGGTGTCCTCCGGGTGTGCCGTGCTTCTGCACAGCTGTTGACACCGTGTCTCACCGTCACTCTCACCGTCACTGACTCTAATGTGATTACTTTTCTTTAAAGCTCCACTTTATTTCCAATTACTTGGCTGCATTCCATAATGAATTTGAAAACCTCAGTAATGAAGAAAAGTCCATTATAGAAGAAGAAATGTTGCTTGAAGTCAATAGGTAATTTTTTTGTTGTTGTTAATTTATAAAATAGCCGTCCATTTATAGAATATAATTGGGGTGCCGACTTGCAATCATGATTTTAGGGGCTTCTTTATACACATACATTTCTGGGACTTGGACTTTGTCAAAAACTGAGCATGTGGTACCTCTCCAGATTTCAGCACCCAGCAGGTGTGGAGAGCAGGGTCGGTGTAAAGGGTCAGGGCGCGTGGATGGCGCTCCTCGCTGTGAGCGCACACCGCACTCAGCTGTACGAGGCTGTGCTGCCTAGGTCCTGTACGCTTTTGCCACCTGATGCTCGTGGAGTGGTGGGCACCATCCAGTAATGTGTTTCTTCTAAAAACTGATTACAAATTGTGAGTGTTGGTTCTGAGTCTTGCTTTTAAACTGTTTCTTCAGTAGCTCTCAGAGCAGGGATGAGAAACTTCCACATTTCATGAAAGTCTAGACCCCTGTTTATCACACACACTCATCTCTGTAGTCAAGAGACCTGAGTTACTCCCGTTCTTTGGGCTCTCTTAGAAGATTCTTTGGTAAAAATGTTTAAGTGACTTTGGCCCTCTTGTCCTGTCCAGCCCACTTACCACAGATCACCTCTTCCTGAAGTGTCCACACCCTTGTTGCTGGGCGTGCAGCTACCCTCGCTGTCCCGGGGCTCCCCCTGATACATAGATCTTCCTCCTCTGGTTCTAGAATGGTTGGAGATAGAAAAATGGAGGAGAGCCCGACAGAAAGGGTAGCCCCAAGGGACGTGTAGTGGGTCAGGGACCACAAGGAAAACAGTCGGGTTTGAGGACACTGAAGCATTCAGTGAAGCCCACAGGCAACTGTTGTGAGGGGAGCTTGGGTTCGCGGCGACGGGGGCCATGCTGCGGCTTAGAGAGGGGCACCACCACGCTCTCCTCTGCTCTGTTTCACTGCTTTGGGAGGGCAGGGGTGAGGGCGAGGCAGCATCCTGCCTCCTGGGAAAGCCAGCAAGTCATCCAGAGGCCTGCACGTTCCTCCTCTCCCTGCATAGCACTTGCTAAGGGTTGCTGATGCCACACCTCACACGTGTAGCATAGAGTGTTGCTTTCCCAGTGTAGCCTGTGCACCGCCCATGGGGCCCCTGAGGCCTCCGTGTGAGTCCCGGGACTGTAGCTGGGCGCGTCCACACTGCACGTCCACCTGCCCCCAGCCAGAGGTGGGAGAGGCCAGCTGCGGTGCCCCCACCCTGTTCCCGGTCCCTGTGGAATAGAATCCTGTTGAGTGGGCCAGGGCTGACCGGGTTTGGACCCCAAGGAGTTACAGGGCCCACCAGCAGGAAATCCCACCCCTGGCCTGTGGCCGGCGCCACACATCTCACGTGCATCTCCTGCTTTTGTAATTACAGGTTTGCCCTTGCGTCCCATTTCTTCTGGGGACTTTGGTCCATTGTGCAGGCCAAGATTTCATCCATTGAATTTGGATACATGGTATGTTCTGGGGGTGGTGTTCTCTTCTATTCCCAGAAAGAAAATTGTTCACCATGTTTGTTACTGCTTCGTGGGGGATCTGCGTTCTTCGCAGAAGGCTATCTATGTCGCACAGTGAGCCCCCTTGGCCTGGCTCCGCGTCTGCCTCTGGAGGTGGCCTCGCTTGCAGGGCAGCAGGCCCACCTTCCCTGCTTCAGAGAGGTGCTGTGTGGCCCTGGGGCTCTGGCGGGGGATGTAGAAATCAGACCCTCATGGTCCAGCCCTTGACCTCAGTCCCCTCTGACACAAGGGACCGCAGGTGAAGGAGCGCCCTGAAGCGTTTCCTCCTGCTGTTATGGCTCCATTCTCCAGCCTGCAGCGCCCCACGTCGAGTGCGCAGCTGGTGCTGACTGAATGAGCCGTCCTGTTTGTTGCAGGCGAGTTCGACAAACCAGGCTGTCGTTTTATTCCAACCTTAGGAACTGTCCTTGACATAGATAGTTTTAACTGTGAGTCCAGCCCTCTGCTGCCCCGTAATGAGTGTTGGTGGTGTGTCCCAGGGCGCGGGCTCACAAAGTCTGTAGTGAGTGCCTTGCTTTAGGAAGGTGGAGGGAATAACGAGTTCATTTCATCCTCCCAGTCCTGTGTTAGGGTGATTTCTGCTTCCAGGTGGAAGGTTTGGTAACGCATAGATGCTGTTAGGCAAAAGAAGGGGGAATAAGGAATTTTAAAGCAGATTTAGAGCCATGGTCAAATGAAATTGTTAAGACAAAGTACACATCAAAAAATATTACCAAAGTAAGGAACAATTTCATAATAATAAAGGGATCAGTTAATCCAGAAGACATTAAAAAAAATCCTAAATGTGTAGGGCAGGGGTGAGGGCGAGGCGGCATCCTACCTCCTGTCTTGCTTCAAAAGACATAAAAGCAGAACCTGAGAAAACTGAGCGGAGAGGCAGGGCCAGAAACAGCAGCGGGAGGGACGGAGGAGGGGATGGCACTCTCACCCAGCCTGACGTCACTGAATGCCCGCTGCCGAATGTACATCCTTGCCCAGTGAATATGGCACATTCATCAAGATAGACCACATACTGGGCATTAGGAAACAGGTCTCAAGTTGAAAAGAATTGAAGTACAGAGTATGTTCTCTGACCATGGTGGAATTTAATAGAAAATCAACAGCAACAAAATCTTGAAAATTCTTCAATTATTTAGGAATGAAATAGTACACATAAATCAACCCTGGATCAAAGAAGAACTAGACAATTAGAAACTATTTTGAACAAATTATAATGAAAACACAATATATCAGAATTTGTGGGATACAGTTAAAGCAGGGTTTAAAAACTTGTGGCTTTGAAGGTTATACATTTGTATTAGATAAGAAAGTTCTTAAATCAGTGACTGAAGCTTCTACCTTAAGAAGCTAGAGAGAGAAAAACCAACCTAAGCCCAAAATCAATAGAACTAGATAAAAGGAGGGGCACCTGGCTGGCTCAGTCAGTGGAACACACGACTCTTGATCTCAGGGTCGTGAGTTCAAGCCCCACGTTGGGCGTGGAGCCTACTTTAAAGAAAAAAAAAAAAAAAAGAAAGCTAAGAGCAGAAATCCTTGAGATAGAAAATGGATGGGGAAAAAAAGAGAAAATCGATGAAACCAAAAGTTGGTTCTTTGAAAAGCTCAATACAATTTACAAACTTTTGGCTATATTAAGCAAGAAAGAAAGAGAAGACACACATGACCAGTATCAGTACAAGGAGAAGACATCACTCCAGCTCCTGTGGATGTTGTAAGAGAATATTATGAATAATTTTACACCAACAGATTTGACAGCGTGCATGAAATGTCTTGGAAAAGATACAAATGACAAAAACTAACCTAACAAGTGGTCATATGTTATTGAATAAGTTGAATTCATACTCAGAAAACCTCCCTGTAGAATAAACTGCAGGTCCTGGTGAATATCATCAAACATTTAAGGAAGAAATGATACCGATTCTGCACACGGTTTTAGAGAATAAAGGGAGGAGGGGACATTTCTTGACTCATTTGATGAAGCATTGTCCTGATGCTGAGAGGAGACAAAGACATTTCAAGAAAACTGCAGAGCAGTGCCCTTTGTGAACAGGACAGAAAAAGCATTATCAAAATATTAGCAGAAATTAAATCTGACATCTACAAGAAGATAATATGATCAAGTGGCATTTATCTCTGGAATGCAAGGTTAATTTAACACTTTAAAAACCAGTTAGTGTAGGGACGCCTGGGTGGCTCAGTCGATTAAGCGGCTGCCTTCAGCCCGGGTCACGATCCCAGGGTGCTGGGATTGAGTCCCACATCGGGCTCCTTGCTCAGCAGGGAGCTTGCTTCTCCCTCTCTCTCCCTCTGCTTGTGCTCTCTCTGTCAAATAAATAAAATCTTTAAAAAAGCAAACCAACCAGTTAGTGTGTAATTCAGCATATTAACAGAATGAGGGAGAAAAACCGTATTATCTTCTTAGGGAATGAAGGAAAAGCATTTGACAAAATCCAGTACCCATTCATGATCATGATTTAAAACAAACAAACAAAAAAAGCCTCAGCAAAGTAGGAATAGAAGGGTCCTTCCTTAACCAGGCACAAGGCACGTATGAAAACCTATAGCTGGCGTCATAATTACTGGCGAGAGCTGGAGCGCTCCTGCCCACCGGAGCACCCAGCCAGCATAGTAAGGCTGGGAAAAGAGAGGAAATGCAAAAATACTGGAAAGGAAGAAGAAAGACTGCCTTTTTTATTATAGGTGACGTGATCAAGTACATGAGAAAATATGAAAGAACCAACAGAAACGCTATTTGAGTTGTGGAGTGAGTTTATGGAGGTCACAGGATACAAGGGCAATGCACAATAACCATCTGTGTTCCACGTGGTAGAAACCGTTCCAAATGAAATTTCGTTGTATTTACAATGGTATAAAAACATGAAATACTTAGGGATGAGATTTTTAAAATATGTGCATGATCTTCACACCGAAAGCTGTAAAACATGGCTACAATAACCTAAGTAAATGGACAGAAGACCACATTTATGGCTTCAGAAGACTCCGTATTAAGAGTCTATTCTCCCCAAACTGATTTCCAGAGTCTGTGATCCCAGTCAAAACCCTCACAGGCTTTTTGGCAGAAACAGATATTTCTAAAATGTGAAACTAAAACTAACAAAGTTGGCAGATTAATTCTGCCTGATTTCAAGACGTATCAAGACAGTGTGGTATTGGTGTAAAGATAGACATCCATCAAATGGAGTGGAGCCCGGTGCCCAGAAACACACACATACAGTCAACTGATACTCAACAGAAGGGCCACGCTAATGCACTGGGGAAGGGCTCAGATTTTCAAAACCGGTGCAGGAACAACTGAAGAGCCATGTGGGAAAAATAATGAACCTTGACCTCCTGCCACACACACACATTAACTAAAACGGGTAACAGACGCAAGTATAAAAGCATCTGGAAAACAAAGGGAGAAAACCTTTGTGACCACAGCAGAGATTTCTTGGGTTACGTGAAGCACTGACCATAAAAGAGAAAAGATATGGTAAGTTGGGCTTAATCAAAGTGAAAAACTTGTGCTCTTTGAATGACACTGTTAAGAAAATAAAAAGGCAAGCACAGACTTGGAGAGAATGTCACTGATCTCTATCTGACAAGGACTTGTATTTAGGATACACAAAGAGATCGCAATGTAGCAAGAACCCAGATGAGCTACTTTATAAACAGAAGATTTGGACACGTCACAGAAGATAAAGAAATGGCCAGTAAACGTCTCTTTGTCTGCTTAATGGAATACACGAAATGCAAATGAAACCCCCAGTGAGATAGCCCGCACACCCCTAATGCTGCTAGCAGTAAGACAGCGACAGGACCAAGTGGGAGCAAGCACACGGAGCTGCTGGCCCTCGCATACGTTGCTGGGGGGAAGGTAGATGGTCTAACCCGCCTGGAAAACGGTCTGACAGCACATGAAGCGGGCGGCCCGGCGACCTCCTACTTTGGTATCGAGCCGAAGAAATGAAAGCCTATTTCCACACCGCGACCGGCACTCAGATGCTCATCGCAGCTTTATGTTTAATAGCCCCGAACTGGAAACTGCCTGCCTGCCAGTCAGGTGAATGGATATTTGTAGTGCGTTAGATCCGTCTAATAGACAAGTACTTAGTCCACAGGAAACAGGAACGAACCCCAGATGCACACTGCAGCGTGCAGGAATCCCAGGAACGTGTGCTGAAACAAGCCAGACGCGGAAGGGGACACACCGGGTGACTCCAATTACGGAAGAGCTTTCTATGGCAATCCGTGGTGGTGGAAATCGGTTCAGAGGCTGCCTGTGGCCAGGCGTCAGGGCGGGGCCCGTGGGAGCTTGAGCGCGCCGGAATGTTCTCCAGCAGGACTGTGGTGCCGGCGCTGCACTTGAGGGACGCATTTGTGAAAACCGCCCAACTGTGCGTGTGAAGGGGCTCATCTCTGTGGTATACGAGTTACGCCCCGAGGCTGGGTTTGCAGCAGCCACGCTGTACCCTTCCTGGCGGTTGGCGTCGCAGACTTTTCCGTTCAGAGTGGGTGCTTCCGAGGTTGTGCTGGTGGTCAGGACTCAGGACCAGGGTCTCTGCCGTCCCTCTCGTGCCCCGTGCAGTCATCCTACTGCGGGTGATCCCAGAAAATTGGGGCACCTTTCTTGCACCTCTGCTCTCTACTTGCTGACTCAGCCCCACGAACCTTCTGCTTTGAGAGGAGCCTGCAGCCTTCAGGGTAAACAAGAGGGTGAACCGAGGCAGCGCCAGATACGCAGACGGAAGGCCCGCCGGGATTGCTGCGTTCGGGGGTGGCCGAGGTGCCTTAGCAAGGTGTCTGGGCTCCTGGACGGCCTGCGGCAGCCGGAGTCACTCTGTCCTGTGTCCGCAGTGGTGGCCAGCCCGCGGGCCTGGGTGGGACATGGGCGGCCTTGGGCGGGAGTCCTTGGTGAGGCTGCTTTCTTGTGTCTCCTAGGACTATGCCCAAGCAAGGTTCGATGCCTATTTCGACCAGAAGAGGAAGCTCGGGGTGTGAGTGTGTGAGGCGCCGTCCGCTTCATCCCTGGACTGCGTGGGGGCGGCCGGGCCAGCAGGGCCCTCCGCGCTCCGACAGCTGTCCCCGCGGCAAGGCTTGGATGGCTCGCTGCCGAACACGGATGTGTATGATACGAAAGACTGTATTAAAATTGAGTAACATTTATATCCTATCTTGTTTACGATTTCACTAGGACTCTGCAATGAGATCGGGAAGCAGAAACATAGCACAATAGCGCAATAGTGCAATCTCTCAGAATCCTTTGAGTCTAGAGAAGGCATTTTCTATGTGGGGCCTGAAGTTTGCAGTCAGATACGGCAGACAGCACAAGTAAACAGTGTTTCTGCGGGTACTTTTTTTCAGTTAATGTTGATTTTTCAAGGACTTGAATTCATGTGCTGGGGAACACCGTGACCAGGCCTTCAGTGGTGACAATGTGTGTCGATGCCGCCGGCTCCTGAGGGCAGCGAGTGAGGAGGGACAGACTGTGACATTGCTCTGCGGCCTGACCGACCGCGAGTGCCCGGAAGCTGCTCCCTCACCCTTCTGGTCCACACGGCGGATGCTCGAGGCAGCAGATGCCCGTGCGGGGGGTGGGCTGTTGTCTCCGTTCGATGAATGTAGCTCCTCCGGACCTGTTTTATGTATTTTGTCCCGCGGACGCATCTCCCCCGTCTGTCTGCGGCCTCTGCCCTGCCCTCCTCCTCCACTGAATGTGCCCTACTAACCCCAGCCTCGGCGGGCAGGCACCTGCGGACACACTCGCCTCCCGCCTGCCCTCCGCCCAGAAAGCAGGCTTTGCCCTGCTCTCCGCAGCCTGTTCTCCTCCACCTCTGCTCAGCCCCGGGTTGTGGATTCTGTGACAGGGCTGGCGGCCCTAGGCGTCATCCCGCTGCCGCGCCTGCCGCCGGGGCCCCGGTGCGCCCGGTGGGGAGAGGGTGGCCTGGCCTGGGCTCTGGGCCGGCTCCCCCTGCCCTCCCTGCCCCCAGTGTCCCTGACGGGGTGGTCCTGGTGGGAAAGAGCAGCCTGTATGTGGAATGTGGGGGCATGGATACGCTAGAGCTGTGAAACCCTTATATATAGTAAATGTCCTTTGGGATAAAGTTTTTTTTTTACTCTGAACTTTTATTTGAATTGCTTTTTGTGCATACATTTCTGCTACCGGAGACTGTATTATACAAACAATAAAAACATACAAAACCCTCACTGTCATCCTTGGTCGTGTCCTAAATCTCGGGCAGGGCTCCTGTTACCTGGTTGTGCCTATGGAGGGCTCCCGGGGGGTCCTCCCAGCTCTCCACCCCCACAGAGACCTCTGGAAGGACACAGAAGAAACTAGGAGCAATGGGATGTGCTGGAGGAAACGGAACGGTCAAGGCAGGAGGGAGATTTTCCACTATTCACCCTTCCAGATGTTTAAAAGTTTAGCCAGGTGAATGTGTTCTGGGATCCAAGCAATAAAACTGAGCGATAGAGGATACTGCACTCCTGTGTAAGGTCTCCCCCAGAGCGATGCCCCCCCCCCACCCCTGCCCCGCTCGCCCCGCCGGCCCCGCCCTCCCTGTGGCATCTGGAGGCCCTGGGGGCCGGGCCCCCCCAGCAGCTGGCCAGATGAGAGAGCTACAGCGATAGAGCCAGGCCACCCGGCTTGCCATGCCCAGGGCATCTCTGGCCTCAAAAGTGGCCTTTGTTCCCGGGGCCTCCTGCCGGAAGAGCCACTTTGCAGCTCCTCAGCCCGAGAAAGGGAGGCCTCTGAGATGCACTGGCACCACCTCCCAGCCGGCGGTGGGACCCAGGCCAGAGAGACCTGCACAGTGCTCCTCTCCAGCCCACCAGTCGAAGGATGGCCTTGGGGAGCAGGACTGGTCACCCAGGGAGGGATGGCAGAGACGGCAGCCTCCCCTGAAGGGCCAGCAGGACCTGGAGTCCAGCTCAGTCCTTTTCCTGGCCCTGCGGGCCCCAGACAACTCCTGGGCCGCCCGGACAGCCTCTGCCCTTTCTGTAAGAGGGGGTGTGTGTGTTGTGTGTGTGTCCCCACTTCTGGGTCAGGCTCTGGAGTCCCAGGCTGCTCCCTGCCTCGGACCATCTTGAGTGCCTGGGGCGGGGCCAGCACCAGGGCATGGAACAACTGGCCCCTCGTGCCAGGCACCACCCTTCATGCCCAGAGTATCCCAAACATTCTCTTACAGCCAGTTTGCACATCTCCAAGGATGGGAAGCTCAAAACTAGAATGTGCTGGAAAGATCCCTCCCTGGTCCTAGGTCTGCCCCCCACTTCACCCCCAGGCTCTGGGATTACTGCAGATGCGCTCACATGGCCTCTCCCCAACTCCTCAAGGCCCCAGGTCCTGACCAGGGCCTCCCACCCCACTGCACCCTACAACAAGCTCCGCTGCCCGTGACAGCATAAGGAAGGTGAGTATAGTAGAGCCGGGCACGGAGTCCATGACCCCAGGAGTCTCATGGGGTGAGACCAGTCCATGCCCAGGGCCCAGGCCCTGCCACCCCAGTCTCGCCAGCCCCTGGCACCGCAGACAGGACCGAGACAGAGTTCCTAGTCCCTCTTTATTTCTTGTCTCCGCAGGTAAGGGCACAGACCCGGGCGTGGCCACAGGTGGGCGCTAGTCCTCCTCCGCGAAGGTGAAGGGGCTCAGCTTGTAGCCACTGCCTAAGTAGAACTTGTTCTGGAACTCTACCCTGGGGGTGACAGGGAGAGCTGGTGAGGGGCAGGCTCCCCCGACCCTCGTGTGGCCCGGGGCCAGCCAGGCGGGCCGCTCACCAGTGCAGCCGCAGTGCGTGCAGGAAGGCCGAGAGCCCCTCCATCACCAGCAGGATGGCCACGGTCAACCCGGCGAAGGCGGCGAAGATGGGGACCAGCACCACGGCCGCCACGCCCAACTCATGGCCCATGCGCAGGCCCACACGCATCACCATGGCCCACAGGACCTCCGACAGCTCTGGGGATCGAGGGGGCAGCAGTGGAGGCCAGGGCCCAGGGGGTGCCCACCTGGCCCCGTGGCAGCCTGAAGCCCCCCCACCGCGCCCGCGGGGCCGCTGGGGGACCTCCTCCAACATCCTCACTTTACAGAGGGGATGCTGAGGCCCAGAGCAGTGACCCGCCCAGCCAGCAGCTCGAGTGTCCGAGGCAGCCAGGGCCTGACCCACGGCCATCCCGCCCACCGGCGGCCCAGCTCACTCACGGGCGTGGGCCAAGCTCAGGGCCCAGAGACGCAGGTAGGAGGCCGTGTTGGAGATGCAGCCCAGGCAGAACTCGATGGTGTGGATGGCCTGGTGCATGAGCACCTCGGACAGGACAAACTGGGGGGTGGGCGGCGGTGAGGGGCAAGCCGGGCTGGCAGCCACCCCCCCCCACACACACACTCGGGAAGAGCACACCCACCTCGGCCTCCTCTCCGTTCCCTGGGCACCCCGCTTTCTCCTCATCAGAGCCCCAGCCAGCCACAGAGGCGTCGGAGGCGTCCAGAATCCTGGACTTGTCGTCTTCCTGGGGGTGGGGGGCAGCAGCATCAGCAGGCCCCCAGCACTCGGGAGGCCGAGGGGTGGCGAGGGTGGGGCCAAACCTCCCATCACCCCACATGCCCCCCTCCCCACCCCGAGCCTCTACCGGTTGGCGGCCAGTGGGCCTCAGTGGGCGACGGTGCTGCCAGCGCAGGAACAGGGGTGTGCCGAGCAGCAGGACGGGCACGGTGGCCAGGGCCAGGACCACCAGTGTAGACTGCACCACCTCCTGTGGGGGGGCCTCCAGTGAGGGTGCCCTCTGCGAGCCACGCGCCCGGCTCCGGGCCCCCGGAGCCTGCAGCCATTCCGCCTCCCCCAGGGCCCCTCGCTAAGCCAGGGTCCCGGGGGAGGAGCTGCCGGCTCCCAGGGCGCCACTCCCAAGGGGGCTTCCCGCCGCCCCTCCACCTCCCCGGCTCGCAGCCTCGGGCCTGCATCCCCGCTTCTCAGATGAGGATCCTGCCGCTCAGATGAGGTGCCCGCCCCGGCCTACCTGCCCGGGGAAGAGGGGCTGGTTGGTGGGGCTGCGGGAGAAGAGGAACATGTTGATGAAGTGGATGAGGATGCTGGGGGCTGCCGCAGAGCCGGCCGCTGAGACGCTCAACCACTTGTAGATGACCAGGAAGACGAGGTAGCCGAAGAGCCCCAGCAGGAAGATCAGCTCAGGCAGCGTCTCCAGGAACAGCCGGTGCCACTGGCCAAAGTGCCTGGGGGGGGGGGCGGTCACCAGGTCAGCCACCGGGCCGCCCTGGCCCCGCCTGGCCCGGTGCCCGGCCCGGTGCCCCCCCCCCGGGAGCCCAGGCCCTCACACGTGGTTGAAGACTCCCAGGACCACCCCGAAGGTCATGTGGGTGACCCCGAGGATGACGGACATCTTCATCTTGAAGGAGTTGAGGAAGCTCAGGTGGTTAACAGCCAGGCTCCAGACCTGGGTGGCAGGAGGGACGGGTGTCATGCAGGGGCCTCCCTGCCCGCGTCCCTCTCGGCAGCCCCTCTGCCCCCGGGGGGTCCACTGCGGGGCGGCAGAAGGGAACGGTGGAGCGCCCACACAGGCCAGGCAACCGGGGCCCAAACCCCAGCTCCTCCCCACCAGGTGCCCCTGCCCATGTGACCTCCTGTGCCTCTGCGTCCTCGTCGGTGAAACGGGAGCAGCGCTAACGTGGAGCTCGCGGCACCGTCACCAGGACGGTACCACGTCCTGGCGCACGGACAGCACACAACAGTGCCCAGTCCGGCGGGCTCCGAGCAAGCCGCGCTGCCCTCGCTGCCACACGCTCCTCTCTGCTTTGGAGAGCCCCTCGTCCTTGCAGAGCCCCGCACCTCCCGCACCCCCCACCGGGCCAGGCCCTCGGGAGGGGCTCGCCAATGTGGCGGAAGGAGGACGAGGGTAAGGGTTAGCATCAGGGTCGAGGTTGGGTCAGGGTTAGCGCAGGAGCCCCGGCCCGGCCCTCCCACCTGCCCGCGCCCCCCCGCAGCAAGTGGCCGGGACTCACGGGGTCAATGCCGAAGGGGTAGGGTCCCAGGAAGACACCGCTGACTGCGGGGTCCAGGGTGAGCAGCGGGTGCTCGGCCAGGAACGCGTCGCTGTGGCAACAAGGGCGGGCGGTCAGGGGCTGCCGGGGGCCGCGGGGACCGTGGGGGCTGCGGGGGCCGCGGCCGGGCCTCACCTCCAGCCAGACTGGGTGGCCATGGCCGCCACGCTCCAGCCCGAGGGGAAGATGGTGGTGGCGCGGCTGAAGCACTCGTTGTAGATGAAGCCGGTGTAGACGGAGAACAGCCCCATGAGCAGCAGCAGGTAGCGGCCGCTGAAGAAGGTCCGCCAGATCTGGGGGCGGGGGGCGCCATGAGGGGTGGCCCCGGCCCTCCCCCGCCCCCCCCCGCGCCCCGCCCCCCCTCACCTCGTTCTGCGCCGCCTTCACGGCCGGCCGGTTCTCAGTGAGCACCATGGCCAGGGCGAAGAGGAACATGAGCAGCCCGTGGCCCACGTCCCCGAACATCACGGCGAAGAGGAAGGGGAAGGTGATGATGGTGTAGGGCGCTGCGGGCAGAGGGGCCAGGCGGTCAGGGGACGTGCGCAGCTGGGGCCCGGGGAAACGTGGAGGGGGTGCTGGCGAGGCAGGGACGCCAGACCGCGTGTCCTGGCTGTGTGACCACGGGCCAGTGACTCAGCCTCTCTGAACCTCGGTTTCCCCATCTGTACACCGGAGGCAGCCGCACTCGGACTTCGCAGGGGCGGGATTGGCGGGCCGCAGCCCTCGGTGCAAACCAGCTCCCGCTGGGGTTACTGCCAGAGCCGTAAGCAGAAGCTCAGAGAGGACAGAGAGCCCGTGGCCATCCTGACGGGCACGTGGCAAGCCCCAGAAAGCCGAGCTGGTCACGTCACCTCTGAGGTCTCGCTTTCCCTTCCGTAAAATGGGCCAAATCCCTAATGGGAGTTACAGGACTGGAGTGCGCGTCCCTGTTCCGAGCTGAGTCGTGTCCCTCCCGAAAAGAGGAGCTGGAGTCCTAGCCCCTCAGAAGGCGACCCGAATGTGGAGGCGGGATCTTCACAGATGTGAAGGTCCCCAGACCCATTCAGTGGGAGGCCACCGCCATTTCAGCAGGAAGCTGGCCGTCTCCCGGCCCAGAGCAGAGGCCCCCCCGGAGCCACCTCCCCTGAAGGAAGCACCTGACGCCGGGATCTCGACTTCCAGCCTCCGGACCAGGAGACAAGAGACACCTGTAAGGGCCCCCATCTGTGGTGCTTTGTTACAGCAGCCCGAGCCGCCTCCTACCTCCCCGAGTGAACGCCCCGAGGCCTGGTGGCTGATCATCAGCCTCACAAACCGTGGCTATCTGGTGATCAGGCCTGTTCTAACTGGACGGGCCTCTGCTAACACACAGGAACCACGAGCATGTGACACGGGATGCGGGCCCCAGCTCAAGCTCTGCGACGCAGATCCTGCAGGGATGGCAGGCCCCAAAGGACTGCACATGACCCTGGTCATCGTTCACTCGGCCTCACGGTCCATCCTCGTGTCCTGCCTGTACTGCGCTGGGGGGCCATGCGCCCTGCCTCTAGCCCACCGGCTGACGCCAGACCCTTCCCTGGCCTATGACTCCGAAAATGGGCCCCAACCACGGCTCACCTCCCACCCCCATTCTCTGGGCTGAGACCCACTGCGGTCCCCACCCAGTGACACGGGGGGCGTGCTAGGCCACTGACCACACCACAGCCAGCCTGGAGGCAGCAGAACTGGGCAGGTGACAGGCAGATGCCACGGCGCTCACTGCCTGCCCCCCCTGCCTGCTTGCCCCCCTGCCCCCCAACCTGCCCCGCAACTCCCCACCCCTCAGCTGCTTCCCTACTGGTTTCTCCTAGCAGCACCTCTCTTCATAGGCCACTTGCGCCAGACTCCCCAACTCAGGGCCCGCTTCTGGGAGAACCCGACAGCACCCAAGTCAAACTTCTTAAACGCACAGTGGGGCCGGACGAAGCAGCTCAGCAGGCTGACTGTGGCCTCATGGACTGCTGATCTGCAATCTGTCAACCTTCTCAGCCTGCTCTGAGGGCCGAACTCTTATTCCCATTTTATAGATGTGGAAACGGAGGCTCAGAGAAACTTAAGAAATGGGCCAGGGTAAGCGAGTCAGACCTCAAACTTGAGCCCTTCCTGCTGCAAAGCCTGTTCTTTGCACAACCTTGTGCTGGATCCCTTGCAAGCTTGACTGGGCAGGGGGGCGGTTGCTGGGGGTAAACCTAAAGCTTGCACGATGCCTCCCCCTGCTCCCCAACGTGATGGGAGTGTGCTTCTCATCTTAAGGAGGCAGGACAGGCCCAGTGTGGAGATGCCGCCCTCCCGGGCTGGGGGCTCCCCGGCTCTCACCTGGGTTGACCTCCTGGTAGCGGCCCACGCCGTAGGCGTCCACGATGCCTTGGAAGCTGGCCGTGAAGCGGTTGGTACGGATGAGTGTGGGGGGCATGTCCCGGCAGGGGATGCGGTGAACCACGGCGCTCACACCCGCCTCACTCTGGGGCACCCGAGGGGCACACAGACACATGAGACTGACGGCGGGAGGCCTTCAGGGACCCTCTGACACCCCCCAGCCAGACCCAGCTGGAGATGTGGGGCTCACCGGGCAGGCCCCCGGGAGATCTGGGACAGCCCCTCCCCTCTCCCCTCTCTGTGAAATAGGACCAGCAGCGCCACCTGCCCCAATTCAGGGTGATTTAGGGAGAGCCCGAGATCAGCTGGACCAGAATTCGCTTGGGAAACAGGAGCATGCTGCTTATCCAGGTGGCCCAGGAGAGGGAGCCCCCTTGCCACGTGTGAGCCCCTACTAGGTGTTCGCAGCCTGCCAGTAGGCACGCTGCGCGACCCGGGAGGGCCATCACACCCATTTCACAGATGCGTAGCCTGAGGTTCCCTCCAGCGGCTCAAGGTCTCGGGGCCAGTGCCTGTTGAGCCGGCCTCCCGGGTGCTCTGGCCCCGCCCCGGGCTTCCGACAGCAGGACGGGGAGGGCCTGGGCCAGGTCCTCAGGGCAGACTCCCTGAAGGAGGGGGAACCCGGGGACGGGAAGCGTGCCGCCCCCCGCCCCCCGCACTCACCGAGCTGCCCTGCAGCACCTGCTGCAGGGTGGGCAGGTCGCTGCAGGCGCACCAGCCCTCGGCGATGAGGCACTTGTGGGTGGCACTCACGCTACACTGGTTGAGCACCAGGTACACCGCCTTCATCTTGCGGATCTGCACCTGCCAGGGCGGCAGCAGCTGCTGCACCCGGCCCAGCACCTGGCTCAGGAAGCGCTCCGTCTCCCCCAGGACCTGAGGCCAGAGCGGGGGGTGAGCGAGGGCGGCTGCGGCCAGGGGCCGGCGGGGCGTCCAGCCGGGCCGCGAGCGGGCGCCCACCTCCTGCAGCTCGAGGCTCTGTTGCTGCAGCTGCTGCAGGGTTCCGAGGCGGCCCTCCTCCTGCTCCACGAACGGGAACACGTGGCAGTGGAAGCTGGCAGGGGAGGGGGCGGCGTGAGTGGGGGCGGGCAGGGGGCTCCGGTCGTGCAGGGCGGGGGACGGGCCGGGGCACCAGGGTCATCACCAGTCCGTGATCTTGCGGATCTTCTGCCCAATCTTCTCGCCCCAGTAGGAGATGAGGAAGGTCGTCCACGTGGCAGGCTCACCCTGCGGGAGGGGGCCCGCTTTACCGGGAGTCCCGCCGCCCCCCGCCCCCCGCCCCCGCCGCCGCCCCCCGCCCGGGCCTCCCCAGCCCTCACCGTCACCGGGTCCTCCAGCTGCTGCTCCGTCTCCCTGAAGCTGGCGATGAGGAAGCCCCGGCAGGCCCTCCAGAGCAGGCGCTCCAGGGCGGCGGCCTTGGTGGGCTTCACAGCCCCTGCCACGAAGCTGCCGGGCCCGGCCACCCTGCTCAGGACGGCCAAGCAGGCACACCCGCCCTGCTCCCCGGGAGGGGGCCGGAGCCCGAGGCCGGGCCAGAAGAGGGGAAACTCCCACGAGCGAGGGAGATTCTGGGCCTGAAGGAGGAGGCTGGGGCAGTCTGAGGGTGGAGGAGGAGAGCACTGGACGAGGAGTCGGACAGGAAAGAGCTTGAAGTGCCCCTTACTTACTTGATTCTCAGGTCCTGGTGGGGCCCCCCCGGGGGCTGGAGCAGGGGGCTTCTTTCCAAGAGCCCATCCGCGGGGGCGGCTGCCAACTGCGGGCCAAGAGGCACCGTGAGCCCCGCGCGCCCACGTGGGGGCCTGGCACCCCCCTGCCCCCCCCATCCCGGGGCTGGCGCTGACCGGGAGGTGGTGGCCCTGGCCCAGCACGGCGGAATGCAGCTGCAGCTGGTGCAGCTGGGCCCGCAGGGACTGCTGGTTGCCCCGCACGTCCCGGAGCTCCTGGGCCAGGCGATCCGTCTCCTCCTGGATGCGCAGCAGGTCACGGGGTGGGGGTGCCAGCAGGCTCCCCTCGGGTGGGGGCAGCACCAGCCCAGCCCGCCGCACCTCCTCTTGCAGGAACGCTGGGTGCAGAGCAATGGGCGTCAGGGGAGGCCATTCGGGGGCCCGCACCAGCTCATGGCCGCTGTTGGCCAAGGGCCACCTAATGTCTAGGGGGTCCCAAACACTGCCCCAAACTCACCTGGCTGCTGAGTCCAAGACCCCCAGAAAAACCCCAGGCCAAACCTCTAGCCCCAAAGGTCCGCTCTCCTCCTCGTGAGCTCTCCCTCCCTGCTCTCCCTTGGCCACTGCCCCGCTCAGGGCCTGGGTCCCACAGTGGTGTTCCAGGCAGGCTGGCCAGAGCACTGGGGGGCCTGGGACAAGAGCGTGCACGGGGGCGCACATACCACCTGCCTGATGACTTAAAAGCTATCCGTCAAGCTAACCAACCATTAAACGAATATGCTCTATTCTCCCCTCTCATAGGCTCCTCCTGGGAGGGGTTGCCAGAGTGCAGGGCAAGGGCCCCTCTTGCCTGGGTTGAAGAAGCGGCTCCTTGGGGCACCTGACCCTGGATACCGGCCTCTGCCCGCCCCAGTCCATCTGTAGCAGAGAAAGCTCTGTCCATGCCTCTCCCCTGCTTAGAAACCACAGTGCTTCCCAGCGTCCACTGGATGAATTCCTAGGTCCTCATGCAATATTTGAGGCCTCTTCCAAGTGAGCCCCATTCTCAAGAGCACCCCACGGACCCCAGCTGCCCTGTCTTGGCTCTGCAGGGCCTGGCCTGGACCTCCCTTCTGTCTTCCACCTGGGGGGCCAGGACTCTTCCTTTCAGGCCAAGCTCGACTGGCACCTCCTCCAGGAAGCCTGCCTGGGATGTGGGCCTGAGGCCAACTCACTGAAGGTTTTCTCCAGCTCTTCACAGCGCCGAACATCCCCCACGAAGCGTCTCTGGAAGGCGCTCACCGAGGCATTGAGCTGTGGTTGCCGCACAGAGGGGTCAGATTTCTGGGGAGGGGGCCAGGGAGGTCCCACCCAGGGGCCCAGGCTTGGCTCTCTGCGGGCCATAGCTGCCTCCCCCCAGAAAGGTGCCGAACACGCCCTGAACCTCCAGACGCCCAGCTGGAGACAGACCAGGCTTTACGTGCTCTGGGGAGGGTGCGACAGGGCCCCGGAGGCGAGGTGGCCTCGGCCGCAAGGCTGGCCTCTCAGAGAGCTGCGTACCCAGGGCAGGGGCTGCCGGCATTCGAGCAAGGGCCATTCTGGGGAGGAGGTGGTATACCATCCAGGGTGCGTCAGGACGAGCCCCCTCCCGCGCCTGGCCGGCCCCACTCACGTCTCTGAACTCCGTGAGACCCAGCTCGCCAAGCTGACTCACACAGGTATAGGCAGCAGGTGTGGGCAGGAAGAACTGGACCAGCGCCACCTCCTCACCCCGGAACATGGAGCCCATGGTCCTGCGGGCTGGGCCGGGGCGGAAGGCTCATCAGGGCGGGCCAGACAGCTCCCCATCGACTAGGAATTCTGTCCACCTCGGCTCACGTGATCCATGGAAGGTCCTGCTACCAACCCCGTCTGACAGATGGGGAAACTGAGGCCCGGGAAGGCTCGAAGGGGTGCTGAGGTCACACACGAAGTAAGCGGTGCAGCTGGGAGTGGAGCCCGCCCTGGCTGACCTCACGGCCTGGCCCCCCCCCCCCCCCGCCAAGCTCTTTCCCGGCTGGCTCTGCCCCGTCCCAGGCACCCACCCCGAGCCCTGGTGGCCGCTGGCTCTTCTCACACGTGCCCTCTGCTCCCACTGTCTCTCCTCTGTGACCTGCCCTCACCCTAGATCCTACTCATCCTTGGGGCCCCAGGCCAAGGGTCGCCTCCAGCAGCGGCCTCTTAACTGCCACAGCCCTCGGCTGGCCATGAACCCTTGTCCTTCTACACCAAGGAGCGTCCATCCATGACAACAGACAGCCGGGGCTGAGGTTGGGGCTGTCCCTGCCCCGCCCCCCGGCAGCTGGAGCCCCCTCCTTCCCTGGGGTGTCTGTGTGTGCTGAGGGGGTGGGAGCCTCATTGAGGGCAGAGAGGCCTGAGGGCGGGGGAACCTTCCACCGAGGCCTGGACCGCTTGGCGACCGATGGCCAAATAGGGGCGGAAACAGCCTTCCAGGTGTCGAAACCCACGAAAGTGAAACTGTGGAAGCTGACATGGGCAGGACGGCCTGGCAGGGCCCTGCCCAGACGCCGCGGGGGGAAGCCCTGCAGATGCCCCGGCCATGAGCCAGGACTCCACAGCCGCTGCTCTTGGGGCCTGGGGCCAGCCACTTCCCCTCTGGGGGACTCAGTTTCCTTAGCGCTCAAAGTGTCAGGGAAGGGGACGGGCACAGGTGAGGTCCCCAACTGAGGGTGATCATTTGGCGCCAAAGTGCCCCGCCTGCTGTCTGGGTCAGCGGGGCCCTGCCCAGCTGGTCACTTCCTCCCCTGGGCCTGTTTCCTTCAGTCTAAATAGGGACTGCAGCCCCGGCCCCAGCCTGGAAGAGGAGAGAAGGCAGAGAGGGAGCCGGAGATGGCAGCAGTACTGGGCCCCGGACAGGGAAGGGTGGGCAGGAGGAGCTAGGTTCCATCCCCAGAGGGCCGGGGACCAGGCTCCAGAGTGTGGCTCAAGCTGTGACTGGCTGTGTCCTTGGGGGAGTCTCTCACCTTCTCTGGGCCTCTACTTCCTCTTCGGGTAAATGGGACTTGCCACCCCCAGGAGAGACAGGACCTGAGTGAGATGACAAAAATAGAGCCTCCACGTAACCCTTCACCCATGCTACCTCATTGAAACCTAACAGCAATCCTGGGGAAAGAGGACCCTGTACCCTTGTTTTACAGAGTTTCAACGGACGGGTCAGTGCATCTGGAGAGGTGAGGTCTGGGATCAGGTGGTCAGCCAGTGGCCAAGTCAGGCCGGAGGCAGGTCTGGAAGTCCCAGTGCACAGTATGGGCTCAGGGGAGGGCTGTTCTCTGCCCAGGGCACCCTGAAAGGCTGGGCTGCACAGATGAGGGGGTTGTAGAGAACGAGGTCTGGGGACCCAGGGGGTGCAGCAGCCACAGGCTGTGGCAAATCCAGCCTGGTACCCCTCACTCACAGGGCCTTAGCCTAGGGCAAGTCCCTTGGGTGGGAATACCCTTGGGTGGGGTGGGTGGGGTGTGTAGGGACCTGGTCAGACCCCTCCCCCACATTTGAGGACTCCACTGGCTCACCCCTTTCCCCCCCTCCTCCCTGGCCCCTACCCAAGCCAGGGGCCACCCCACTCCTTTTAATGGAGCAAATGAAGTTTCCTCAGTCCTGTGGCCTTCAGAGTCCAAGACTGCAGCCCCCTCCTCACTCTATCCCCCCCCCCACCTCCTTCAGGAACCCACCAGATCTCTCCTCTGAGCCCCTAATCCGTGATGATGAGAGCTGAGCTGGAGGAGACGGCCTGCTGCTTCCCCTATTCCAGACTGGTAGGCTCTAGAGTTAGAGTGACCCCACTTGCCTCTAGCTCTGCCTCTTCCTAGTTGGGTGGGCCTCAATTTCCTCATCTGTAGAATGGGTCCCTCCCTCCGAGGAAGATGCCACAGAGAAAGCCCTGAGCGCCACCAGAGCACTACCAGGATGGGCAGAGTTGGGCCCAGTAGTTAGCGGCTGTTAACTCCCCAACCTCCTCTTCCTCTTCCCTTCCCCCACCTCCTCCTCCTCCTCGTCGCCACTGTGGCCCCCACCAAGGCCCGACACCCGGCGGGCCGGCAGACTGAGTCGCATGCACTGACCCAGCCGGGCGGGGGTTCCAGGAACCCCTTCCCGGGGCAGGGCGAAGCGAGGGTGGCAGTCGGAGCTGGGGGGCTCTGCAGACCCCGGCTGGGGCACACTCACCCCAGGGTCGGCCGCACGCGCCGCTGCTCGGCTCTGAGCTCCGGCTCTGCGCTCCCGGTCGCGGCGCCCACGCAACTCACTTTCCCCGGCGGGCGGGGCCGCAAGGGGCGGGACCACGGAAGCCCCGCCCCGTCCCGTCCGGGCCTGGGAGGGAGGGGCACCGGAGTCCCGCGAGCCGCCGGCGAGGAGGCAGGGCTCGGGCGGCGATCCTGCCCGCCCTCGCCTCCTCGCGGGAGGCTGGGGGACCACTGGGGGCGTGGGGCGGGGAGGCCGGGAGACCCGAGCGGAGACACCGAGCAGCGCCGACCGCGCCCGCCTACGTGGCCGGGATGCGGGTGCGGGGAGGCCTGCGGGGCTCGAGGATGGGAACCCCCCCCCCACCTAGAGGGCTCGCTGATGGGACCCCAAAACACTGAGGCTTGGGGTCCAAGAGCCGCGTGTCCCCAACCTGCTTCCCCACCTCTGGGGCCCTTTTCCTGAGGCTGCATTTGCACCCTGTCCTTACATCTTCCTGCCTCTGACCACCCAGGCCTAGGGCCCACCTAGGCTCCAGGCCCAGGGCTCTGTGCTCTTGGGTGGATGCTGCCCCTCTCTGGGCATTTTTCCTCAATGGCACCGGGATACTGAGGGCTGGGCCATGGCTGTGTTGTTCCACTCAGGGCAGGGCACCCAATGGTAGTTGCTGCTCGTCCTGCGGCTGGGGGTGTCCCAGTGACTTTGCTAATGAGCTCCCCGCTTGGTCATGTCCCAGCACCCCTGAACGGAGGTCACTAATGTCCAGCTGCCTGCACTTTGGACAGGCCAGGACCATACCCACTGGGGACAGGAGGGACAGGGGGCCTCTCAGCTCTGGTGATCCTTGAACCTCACATGGCAAGGTCCTCTGAGGGATAGGGGAGCTGTCGGCAAACAGAGCCCCAGAGCTGGGGGTGGAAACAGTTACAGCCAAGGTCAACATCCTCAGAAAAATGGGGGGACCCAGTTCTGGGGCATCACAGGCCCGTTTCCAGGGGGGGCCCTCAACACAACCAAACTGAGCACCAGTGGGGGCCTCAGGCCAATACTTCCTGGCGCAGGGGAAACCGGAACCCCGCTGTTACAAAACGGCGTTAGAAGGACCCTCCTGAATCACGCACAAAGTTTGTGACAAGTCAGAAAAGGAAAGAACCAAATCAGGAGCTGGACAGTCTGACCCATTTCTAACAGATGTGTTCTGTGTACAAATATAGGCTCCATGACAACGACCTAATGCTGCTTCTATCTGGGAAAAGTGCAGTTAGAGGTGATTTAGGATTTGCAAGCCCGTCTCATTACTGCAGGGCTCCTGCCTCCCACAGCCACTAGGGTTGCAGGGCGCCGGGCACACGGACACTTCCTAGGTTCTGCTCTTCCCTTCGGGTCCTGCACTTTCTCACCTCTGCGCCTTGTTCCTTAGGCTGTGGGGGCCCAGGCAGGGCCTGACCCCTTCAGCACCAGGACGATGGCCCAGGTGTCAGCAGTCATGAACAAAGGGCATGAGCTGGAGGAAGGCTAGGGTTCTTTGCTACAGGCCTTCTCAGAGCCTTGAATGTGCTCACATGAAGTGCCTATCCGAGGAAAGAGGGCACTTGGGGCATTTCCCATGCTGACTGGTCCATGGAACAACTCTCCTCCCTTTTCTTTAGACAAAGCATCAAGGGAGATTAGTATTTTATAGAGTGCTTTTGGAAACGGTGGAAAAGGAAGGAGGGGCCCAGATCCCTGACCTGAGCTAGTGTTTTCATGGGACACATGCTGTGTGATCCCGAGCAAGTCGCTTCCCTTCTCTGAGCTGGTGTGCTCACAGCTGGGGACAGGCTGAAGCCCTTTCACGGTGCCTGGCACCGAGTCCCGGGGGGGCGGCTTTTCGCCGCTCCATCCGCACGGGACGAGCACACGGCCCCGCAGAGAACCATACCTCTGCTGGATCGCAAAGCAGAAGTTCCGAGGGCGGCAGCCAAGCCCTGCAGCCAGCTCTGGGGGAACTTGGGGCAGAAAGGGGATGTGGCTGGAGATGAGGCAAGGCCAGCTCAGGGGCAGCAGGGCCTGTGTCACCTCCTTGTGACTGCTGCCCTGGAGCAGGCCTCTCCCTGCCCCCAACAAGGACACCCTGGCCTTTCTGAGGTTCCGCCACTCACTGGCCTTCTGCCCGAAGCCTCAGGAGACTCGACAGCCATAGGGCCATAGCTGTGCGTGGCCCTACCCTTTGGACATTCAGGATCGTGGGGACAGCAGACCCGAGACTAAGCCTTGGGGAGTATGCCCAGGAAGAAGTGTGCACAGCAGGGGGGGCTGGCGGCCCAGCCACGGCCCCCAGAGTCCCACGGGAAGGCCAGGTCACCTCTGCTAGCTCCCCTGAAGGGCCTGCGAGGGGAGGGACCCATGGGCTGCAGCCGGGCTGCACCGTCCCGGCCTGGCCAGCTGAGTCATGACAGAGGCAGTGCGGGAGAGCAGAGCTTTTTTATTGGGCGGCAGGGGCCGCGGGCCAGCCGGGCAGGGGCCGTCAGCGGTAGAGGTAGTCAGCCTGGATGTTGGCGGCGATCTCGGCCTCCCACTTGTCCCCGTTGCTGAGCAGCTTCTCCTTGTTGTACAGGAGCTCCTCGTGTGTCTCGGTGGAGAACTCGAAGTTGGGGCCCTGTGGGTGGGTGCAGGTGCGGCCCCGTTAGGCCCCTCCAAAGAGCCTCTGCCCCCGGCCCCGCCCCACCCCAGGCCTGCTCACCTCGACGATGGCGTCCACCGGGCAGGCCTCCTGGCAGAAGCCGCAGTAGATGCACTTGGTCATGTCGATGTCGTAGCGGGTGGTCCGGCGGCTGCCATCGGCCCGCGGCTCAGCCTCGATGGTGATGGCCTGGGAGAGGGGTACCAGGCGTCCCTGACTGCCCGTGTCTGCCCCCTCCTGGGGGCTCACCCCAGGGCCCCAGAGCAGACCTGCCACCCGCTCTCAGCCTGAAGTGCCCTTCCCACTGCCTCTCCCGAGAGGCCCCCGTCACACTGCCCTAGCTGCCATTTTTGTCAACCGCCAGCACCTGCTGCCGGAGAGACCAGGTCTCACGAGGGGAGGGCTGTAACATGCTGTGTTCACTGCAGCACCTGTGGCCCCGGGGCTGGGGGTCCCCAGGACTTGCTCGACTGCTGGTCATTGTATACTGAACAACCTTCCCATTTACATCGTTATCCCCCTTTCTTGGATGAGACTCAGAGAAGTTGAAGGGCTTCCCAAAGCCACACAGCAAGTGAGGGGCAAAGCCCAGACTCGAGGTAGGTCCTTAACCCTCAGTTTCTGGGTACGGCCTGTGTCAGCAGCGAGAAGGCCTGGGGCCTCCCACGGCCGAAGAATGTTTAAAGGGGGTTTGCCAAAGGCCCTCACGTGTCCCCAGGAGTGTAATGCCCACTATTCAGTGGGACCTTAGGCTGGTAGCCTTGTTTTTTCGTGCCTCAGTTTCCTCTATAAAAATGGGGGAAACAACCTCTATGTCCTGGAGTTGCTGTAAAAGTAAGTCATGAGCTGGAACAGTGCCTGGTCCATGCCCGGTGCTCATGGCCTTCCTGTGCTCCAGGATCAGAGACATCAAGGCCACGGCCCATGGTCTGCAGCAGCCGCTGGGAGGAAACACTCACTGTGTGGACGGTAAGTGACCACAGTGCCTGGCGCTCCTGCTGGGCACGCCCATGGGTCTGCCTGAGAGCCTCAACTGGATCTTTCCTTTCTTTTCTTTCGTTTTAAAAATTTATTTATTTGAGAGAGAGACGGAGTGCGTGCAAGGGGCAGGGGGGAGGGGCAGAGGGACAGAGAGAATCCAAGCAGACTCCGCACTCAGCACAGAGCCCGATGTGGGAATTGATCTCACGATCCTGAGATCATGACCTGAGCCGAAACCAAGAGTTGGCCGCTTAACTGACTAAGCCACCCGGGCGCCCCAACTGGATGTGTTCCTACACTAATGGGTCCTGACTCCGGGGGGGGGGGTCCGTGTAGGGCCCTCCAACAGAACTAATGCTGGGGGCTCAAAGCAGCAGCACCCGGGGGCAGGGAAGGCCTCAGCTGTGGCACGTGTGTCCTTGGGGCTGGTGACAGGCACACACACAGAGATCCTAAAACTGCTGCTGCATTCAGGGCAAGACTGGAGACTTTCAGGTACCACCGTGTGGCTCCCAAGCCCAGGTTTCACACCGCTGACCAGATCCCCGATGACAGGACCCACAGGTGTCCTGTGGCCTGCTCAGGGCTGCAGCCTCCCCTGTGAGTGGCAGGGGCCAGGGTGGCGGTCAGCAGGCGTCAGGGGCTCACCTGGGCGGGGCAGACAGCCTCACAAAGCTTACAGGCGATGCAGCGCTCCTCTCCCGATGGATACCGACGCAGCGCATGCTCTCCCCGAAAGCGAGGGCTCAATGGGCCCTTCTCGAATGGGTAGTTGATGGTGGCAGGCTCCCGGAACAGGTAGCTCAGGGTCATGCCCAGGCCTGTGGGCAGCAGGTGCACGGTGGGTGGGAGCCCCTCCTCCCTAACAATCTGTGCCCAACCCCCGTCCTGCCAAGCCCCCTTCCCCTAGGGCCCACCTCGGATGAGCTCAGTCCACAGCAGGGTCTGAGCCGCCCTGTCGGTCACCGCCTTCATGTCCATCGAGGGATCCCGCATGTTCACGAACTCTGCAGGGGAGGTGGGCTTAGAAGGGGTCGTGGCAGGGCCTCTCATGTGCCCATGTCCCCGAGGAATCCAACTCAGGGAGACAGGGCCTCGTCTTCCTTCCAGCTGGGCCCCAAGGGCTTATTCATTCATCAAACCTTCCGGCCTCAGCAAACGCCCTTCAGGGCCTGTCTCTGGCTCCAGGCAGTCCTTGCCCACTTCTCCCTGTGTGTGGGCAGCCGTCCGAGCCCAGGAATTGAGGAGGGTGGGAAGGGGCTTGGGCGGTGAGGTCCTGGCAGAGGACGGACACCCGAGCCTCACACTGGGCAGCTCCCTCCCTGTCCCACGTAAGGGAGCTCTGAGCTCAACGTGTGGCCACAGGGAAGGCTCCCCACCCCCTCACTGACAGACCCTGCCCCCACGAATCATATTCAGTCCTGATCATCGCACAGAGTAGAAACAGAGGCTCAGAGAGGGGGAGCCTCTGGCAAAGCCAGGACTAGAACCTAGGCCTCCACCCCTGCCTCTGGCAGGTTCATGATCAGGAAAGCCTGAGGGTCAAGGTGCCCCAGGACTCACTGTAGGTCGCTGCCACTCTGCTGCTGTGGAGGCTCCGGCCAGTGGGACGCCCTGGAAGGGGAGGGATTACACTGTGCAGCTGCAGCCCCGTGTCGGGAGACTGGGCTCCCCCCTGCACCCCGGGAAAGGCTCCCTCGGTCCTACCTGCATGTGCAGCCTGGGCCAGGGCCCGAAGCAGTGTTGGGGTAGTCAGGCAGCGCATCTGCAGGCATGAAAAGGGAGGGAGGCACGGGTGGGTCCCAGGCCTGTCCCCATAGGAACTCTGGCACAGCAGGACCCGGACCTCAGTGCTGCTGTGTCACCTGGTCTCCGATGTACCCCCATTCCCAACAGAGGCACAGAAGGCCTCCCTGCTCCCAAGAGCGGCACCTCCCAGCCCTGCAAACCTGACCCAGCTCGGCTGGGGATAACAGTTAGGGAGTATCTGTGGACCCCGTGTCCTAACTTTTTTTTTTTTTTTTTTAAAGATTTTATATATTTATTTGACACAGAGAGAGACACAGTGAGAGAGGGAACACAAGCGGGGGACGGCAGGCAGAGGGGAAAGCGGACTCCCTGTGGAGCAGGGAGCCCGATGTGGGGCTCGATCCCAGGACCCTGGGATCATGACCTGAGCCAAAGGCAGATGCTTAACGACTGAGCCACCCAGGCGCGCCCCCCCCCCCCCCGTGTCCCATCTTATCTCACTATCTAAGAAATCTTTAAAATCCATTCCTTCTATCTCTCCCCTCCCCTGTTCATCCTCCCCGGATCTGACCCAAATAACACTGCCAGCAGTCACCAGGATTGAAAGCTCACGGTGTCAGGCACTGTGTTAGGGGGTCACACACACTGTCATCCGGTCCTTACAAGGACCCCACGAGAGGCCCAGATGAGAAGCTGAAGCTCAGCCGTGTTAAGTGACTTGCCCAAAGTCACACACACTGGGGGGTGGGGGACCAGTACCTGAACTCAGGCCAGACTCCTCCCTTTACACCCACACTCCTCCCCCCCCGCCCCTCCACCCCATGCGCGCGAAACCCTTTAAAGGCTTAATAACCCTCGGGACCACATTCCTTTCCCCACCATCAAGGTTCTTCTGGAACGGTCTCCCCGCCTGCCAAGTGACCTTGGGCGGATGAGGTCATCTTGCACGTTTTCTCATCTGTTAAATGGGGGTCATGAGAGCGAAGGGGGTTGTACATGTCCAGAGCCTGGCATCTAGCCGAAGCTCAAAAAGTGACCCTCCCGTGACAGATGACTTCCCGCGGGCCCCCCTCCTCGGACCGCTGACTCCAGCGCCAGGCGCCCTCTAGCCTGACACCTGCCCGGACCTTCCCCATGACCTCCGACCCCACGGACGCGGGCGGGGCATGCGCCTTGGCGGTGCCGCTCCCGGGTCCGCCCGCGGCACGCCGAAGGACACCTGGACCGCCAGCCCTGAGCAGGCCGAGATGAAGCCCGGCCGCAGAGCCGGCGGGGCCGAGGAGAGCACCACACTCACCCCCGACGCCGCACCGCCCAGGCCCGGCTTTTAACAGCTGAGCCCCAACACCTACCTTGAAACGCTCTCGCTCCTTCCTTTGCTGAGCGGCCTGCCCACCGAGAGGCGGAGCCTACACTCTGAGACGCTGCCATTGGGCCGGCTGGTTTCACCTTTTCCTCGCCCATCTTTTACGGTGTGGCTTGATTGGCCAGTGGCTCAGCTGGAAGAGGCGGGATCCAGAGCATCTTTCCTTTGATTGGCTAGGGGAGAGCCGACTCTTGGAGTTGCGCAGGGCGCCGCCATGTTGGATTGGAGAGGCCAATAAGCGAGGACTCCGGCGCCACTGGAGGCGGGACGTCCGGGGCGTGGTTTAGGAAGCAGCTCCGGGTCAGACCTGACGCCCTGGGTCGGAGGAGAGAGGCTGGGTCGCTGCGGGGTATTTGTGATAACGGTGCAGAGAACTGTGGCCGGCGGTGATTCCGCGGGAGCCGTGCCTGCTCGGTGCTAAACCTTTACCCAGAAGCCCTGTGTGGAGGATTATTCTCGCTTTCCTGATGGGGAAACTGAGGCACGGACTAGTTTAGGAACTTTGCGCAAGCGTTAGAGCTGCAGAGTGCGGCCGCCTGAGTCTCACCGCGATGTGTGTGACTCGTGATCCCTGTCCCTCAACAGCCACCAAACTGTTTCCTCCCAGTGGATCGATTGTGTGGCAGAGGGACCCCGGAGGCTGCAGGCACGGAGAAGGCCCTTGGGGCCGCCTGTGTGTTGGTGGTGGGCGGGGTAGTGGGAGGTGGTCTTGCAAGGCTTCTTGGATGATGTGATGGCCAAGCTGACTTCGAGGAGGAATAGGGCAGGCCAAGGGCAGGCATGCCCAGCGTGTGTGCAGAGGTCCTCTTGAGAAGGACGACAGGCCAGGTGTGGGGACACAGGGCTGTGGAGGAGCCCTCCAAGGACTCGTGGGTCCTGACTTGCGGCCACAGGGAGCCACTGAAGGGTTCAGGCTGAGGGGTGGCATGGTCCAGTAGCTTTGGGAAGGTCAGTGGTGTACTGAGGTCAGGCCTGTGGGGAAAGGGGAGGTGACAAATGGCCCTGGGCATGGTGACCAGTGTGTGGATTGGCAAGTTCTGCAGCATTATAGGACCATCAGGACTTGCTCAAAGATGGGACTTGGGAGGTGAGAACGGGGTGTTGAGCCGGGGGCCCCAGGGGTTTAGTTTGGTGGCTGAGTGGATGAGGGACCATTCCATGGCATCAGGGCCCAGGAGGATGAGCAGGACGGGGAAGAGGGTGAGTCTGGTGTGGGACACGGTGAAGGGAAGGCACCCAGGGCCAGCCACTGGGGGGACAGGAATGTGCCCAGAACTCCTGAGAGGCCTGAGGGGACAGGCTAACCCCACCCAAAGGAGGAGACAGGATGCCTGGAGCTTGGGATCGACAGCTCATTTATTATTGAACTCCAAAACTGAATCCTCCCAGTGATCTCTGGAGGTGCTGCTGATTGCTACCACCTCCCCTGTACAGATAGGGAAACAAGCTCCGGGAGGGCAGGGATTTCTGCCCAGGGCCGAGGCCGCTGCAGGTCCACGGTGTGACCTGGACCAGATGCCAGGGCCCCTTCTGCATCCTCCACGGGAAGGGGCGGGTGGCTTAGAGGTGTCCACATCTCCTGGCCTATCCCAGGACTCGGGTGGCTAGTGTGGGGGTGGGGGAGTGGGTTACCTCGTTGTTTCCCATGCTCCCTTGCCTTGGCCTGTCCTAGTTGGGGGGCAGCTGAGGGAGGAGGAGGCTGAGGGCTCGCAGAGAGAAGGCCCAGTGGGGAGGAGGGCAGGCACTGGTCTGGGCTGTGGTCTTTTCCTCCTTGGAGGCACGTCTGCACTGGCCGCAGGTGGCAGGGGCAGCAGACTCACAGGCGTGAGCCAGGCTCAGAGCAGGGTGCAGCTGCAGCTGCGGGTCTCCATCGCCGCCAGCAGCATCCTCAGGTTACGAGGCGAGTAGGGCGGGTAGCGGAGAGAGTAGATCTTCTCTAGCCCGGGCCAGCGCAGCAGGCAGGCACGGTGGTGGGAGAAGGTGTCGAAGGAGAATTTGCCGTGGTAGCTGCCCATCCCACTGGCACCTGTACGGTGGCATGGGACACCGCAGTCAGCCTCGTGGCGGCCAGCTGGGAGCGTGTTGGACACGCCTGGGCTCTGCCAGCCACACACAGTAGGACCTCAGTTTCCTCATCTGTAAAATGGGCCAGTCATGAGGCAGTGTAGGTAAAGGGCTTAGCTCTGAGTCTGGCACCAGCAACAACTTGGTAAATGTCGGAGACACCAGGTGCTGGGGCAAGATAGGTCAAGAGTGTGGATTCTCGGGGCGCCTGGGTGGCTCCGTTGGTTGGGCAACTGCCTTCGGCTCAGGTCATGATCCTGGAGTCCCGGGATCGAGTCCCACATCGGGCTCCCTGCTCGGCGGGGAGTCTGCTTCTCCCTCTGACCCTCCCGACCCTCCCCCCTCTCCAGGGGACCCACAATGGCTGGAGTTGGGGGTAATGAAGGAGGGCTTCCTGGAGGGAGTGAGGCCTGAGGGATCTAGAGCTGACCAGAGGAAGAGGGGGGGTGGGGGCAAGAGGGACCCAGGCTTGGGACAACTCAGCCTTGGAGGTGGGTGACCTGTGGCACACAGGGACCTGGCCGGGCCCAGTGTGGCTGGGGCAGCAGGGAGGGAAGCAGGGAGAGGAGGTGGGAGCAGGACACCATGGCCAGACCAGGAAGGGCCAGGCCCCAGGAAGCTGTGAGTCAGGGCCTTGCTCAATCCTGTGGGGAGTAGCAGGATGGGATCTGCCCCCAGACAGACAGCCGCACTTCCCTGGAGTAGAGGGGCCGGGATGGAGACGGGCAGTCAGGTGGGCTAGGTTGGGGCTCCAGGACAGGGGCCAGCAGTGGGACCCAGTCCCGGGGGCCCACACAGCCTCCACGTCTGCTCTCAGCTTGCCATGTACCCGTGTGGCATCGGCTGCTCCCAGGGAGCATCCAGACCCACCCGGACAATTTGCCAGGCCCTGCCGGACCCTGGCTCAGGTGCCTAGTGTGGACAGGCGCCAGTCTGGCTCTCCCATGCCGCTAAGGAGGCGACAGGATCAGAGAGGGACCTGGCTACCCCAGATCACACAGCCATTGGGCGCACTGGGACCAGCCCCGAGGTTTCCTGCCTCAGAGGCCAGGACTTGGCAGCAGTCACGGGGGCTGCTGGGGCCGGGGGTCTCCACTCCCCCGGCTTCCCCCGGGCTGGGAACAGCCCCTGTCTCCCGGGGGGGGTGTGTGTGACACACCAAGTGCTGGACTGCGGGGACACAGGAAGGGTTTAAGGGGCAGTTCGTAGCCTCCCCGTGGAGTAAAGGGAGCACGTGACAGGTCTGGAAGGTTTCTGCAGGATGGAGGTGTTGGGGTGCCCTCAGTCCAGGAACAGCAGAGAAGGCGGGGCTCTGTGGGCACCTACCCACTCCTCCGAAAGGCAGGCTGGCGAGGGTCATGTGCATGAAACCGTCGTTCCCGCAGAAGCCCCCGCTGCTGGTCTGGGCCAGTACTCGCTTGACCACCTGGGGGCGGGGAGGGGAGCAGCTATGAGGCCTTGTGGCCAGGCAGCAGGAGGCCAGCCAGCCACCCCCGCAGGGCCCCGGGAAGTCTGGCCACCCTGGGAGCTGCAGGGCTGGTGTCGCAGGTGGGGGGTGTGGTCGCGTAGCAGCCTGGCACCGAGCCCCCAAGTCGGGACGTGTTTCCTGAGCAGCTGCCCGAGTGTGGCCCGTGCAGGGTGCTGGGGACACAGACACGGGGCCAAGAGGGAGGCAGGAAGCCCAGCGGTCGCCTGGGGGCCTGGAGAGTTCAGGGTGAAATGCCAGGTAGTCAGGGAAGCATCCCAGGGGAGGGATGTCATGCGCCTGCTGCCTCTCAGGGGAAAGGGGGCCCCCCAGGCAGAGTGAAGGGCAGGTGCAGAGACCCAGGTGTGCAGCACAGGGAGGACCTTTAGATGGGGTGATGCAGCCAGATTTGCATTTTAGAAACATGAATGTGGCCCTTGCTTGACTTAAAGAAGACCTTTTCTCTTTAACCTCTAGGTTTATTGGAAGAATGAGAGGGGGAAAAGATTAGTAAACACTCTATATCATTGCCAGAAAACTCAGCTATATTTAGCTATGACATGTGATCCTGAACTAACGGCTTGTCTGCATGGTGGGAAGAGGGAACCGCCCCGTGAGTGGGCTCAGAAATCACGGGGAGGCCAGCAATAACAGCGACAGAAGAGGGAGCAGGAGGGTTGCAGTGTTTCTCGGGGGCAGCCATGGGTCGTAGGTGTGACTTTGTGTCCCCCCGGGCCAGTCAGTGCTGGGCATTCAGGAAAGCTTGGAAGTCACAATGCCAGATGGCTCCCTTCCGAAAAACCCGGGTTGCAAAGTTTCTACAGTTAGTATTATCCAGATAGAGCAAGGCTCCTTGGAGGAATGGCTGACTCTAGGGCTGAGCAAGGGCAACACGGGATGAGCCGAAGCATCTCGTGGACCCTGAAAGGAAGTGGTTGGAAAACAAAAGGGGGGGGGGTTGCTGAGGGACACAGCAGCTCCCAATGCACAAAGAGGGACAAGCTGAGAAGAACACAAGGTGGTGTTGCATTGAAAGCCGGAGAATAAAGCAGATGCGTACCAGTCCATGCTGATAGAAGTGATTTAGGAGCCAAATCTTTCTTACAGATTCTGGGGGACGTAAGTAGGTGTCCCCCTTCAGCAGGTGGTGCTCAATCACACTCCTTCCACAGAGCCACTTGCTCCCAAAGAAGAGGAAGGTCTCGTGGTGGAGACACCTGGCAGACAGGACCTTGGCCTCACCAGTGATGTGTGGCTCTCAACCCCTGATAGGAGGGCAGAGGCCAGCCCTCGCATCCCTGGTGTTCTTTCATGAGACAAATAGCAGAGCACTGAGGTTGGGGACATGCTGCAAGGGACCTGGTCAGCACCTCCCAAGCTGAGAGGTAGTCGCGGACCGGAGAGCCATGACAACTAAATGCAATGTGGGGCCCTATCTGGGCTCTTGGGGCAGAAAGAAAAGCGTGAAATCCAAGTCAAATTTGGAGTGTCGTTAACGGTAATGGACCAACCGCCGTCTCTTAGTTTTGATGAACATAAGGGCCCTTAAATGGGGGAAACTGGTAGCGGGTTATATTGGGACTCCCTGGACTATCTTTGTCTTCTGTAAAGCTAAAATTATTCCAAAATAAAAAGTTTATTAAAAACATACTGCCCAGGCGCCTGGGTGGCTCAGTCAGTTAAGCATTTGCCTTTGGCTCAGGTCATGATCTCAGGGTCCTGGGATCAAGTCCTACATCGAGTCCTGCATGGCGCTCCCTGCTCAGCGGGGAGTCTGCTTCTCCCTCTCCCTCTGCCCCTACCCCTTGCTCATGCTCTCTCTCTCTTCAAATAAATAAATAAAATCTTTTAAGAAAACCACACTGTCCAATCTGCGAGGGATCTCATAACAGCTGGGTGTCCTGAGCTGTGGACGCCTGCCCTGTGCCCTTGAGGCTCCCAGGATGCCCCCAGGGGCTGAGCAGGCCAGGGGGCTGGGGTTCAGTGTCCCTGCATGTTCTAGTCCTTCGCTCTCCCCTAGTCATTCCACTCCATTCTGTGTGTGCCTTCTATGAGCCAGGCACCAGAAGGGGACACGTGACCACCAGCCAATGATGAAGAAGACAGAGGGGGGCGCTTATGGAGCAGGGACACTGAACCCTGGAGAAGACCCTGGGGGGAACTGCCCACTAATGGCCTAAGAGACTGTGGCTTAGGTTGGAGGAGAGGAGGCCCGGCTGCCCCAGGGAGAAATCACAGTGACAGACCCAAGAGTGCCACCATCCAGAATTCCTGTGACTGTTCCAGAAAAGCAGGACCCCAAACCCTCCCTCCAGGGCTCTTGGTCCATTCCAGTCCTGGACCCACCTCCCCTTCTGCTGTCACCACCTAACCATCCAGGTGCCCCTGCCCTCACCTCTGTCCAGCCCCCACTCAGCTCTACCTGAGTCCCCCCCCACCCCACCTGATTGCTGTTGGAGAAGGCATACAGGGCCAGGGGCTTCTCCCGACGGTTGATGAAGTCGATGGCCTCGTCCAGGCTCCTCACGTTCACGATGGGCAGGATGGGGCCGAAGATCTCCTCCTGCATCACCGGCTCGGTCTCCTGCACGTCCACCAGCACCGTGGGGGCTGCGGGCACAGGGGCCGGCTCAGCCCTGGGGCCGGGCGGGGGAGGGGGGCACGGGCAGGGCTCAGGGGCCTTCTGGGGAAGAGAGCGTCCCCGCAGCCCCCGGGAAGGCCGGTGAGGGGTTGTCCAGCCCCGGCGGGGGCCGGCCCAGGTGGAGCGGAGGTCAGGGAGGCGGGGGCCCAGGCTGGCCTCGGCGGTCCAGCTCCGGGAGCCTCGGGGCGGGGCGGGGCGACGAGGGGCGGGGGCGGGGCGACGAGGTGTCGGGGGCGGGGCGACGAGGTGTCGGGGGCGGGGCCCAGGCTCGCGGCCCAGGCGGGACCCGCGTCCTGGAAGGGCCTTGGCAGGGTGGCCACGGCGGCGGCAGGGCGGACTGGACTCACCGATGTAGCGGTCGCGCTCGTCGCTCTGGCCGCCGATGACCACGCGGCCACAGCCCAGCAGGCCCCGGAGCCGCCGGAAGTGCTTCTCGCTGATGATGCGGCCCAGGCTCGGGGAGCTCTGGGGGTCCTCGCCGTAGAAGCGGGTGATGGCCCTCTGCAGGGCGGGCAGCAGCCGCTCCTGCGTGTCCGGGCTGCACAGGACGTAGTCGGGGGCCACGCAGGTCTGGCCGCTGTTGAAGTAGCGGAACCAGGCCACGCGGTTGGCCACGGTCTGGGGGTCGCAGTCGTCGTCCACGTAGCAGGGGTTCTTGCCCCCCAGCTCCAGCGTGACGGGTGTCAGGTGCTTGGCGGCGGCAGCCATGACGATCCTGCCCACTCGGGGGCTCCCTGGTCGTGGAAAGAAACCAGGGTGACCCTCAGTCCCCTCAGCCAGGTGGGATGGCCTCAGCCTGGGGGCTGGTACCCCTCTAGGGGGGGTTCACTCCCTGGCCTGTCCTCCCTGGAGAGGTGGTGGAATTGGAGGGTGCCAGCCCCCTTGGCCCTCCCCTGCCAGTCTCTGCACCAGGACCTTGCTCACGGCCTCAGCCAGACCAGCCCCAACAATGCAGGGTCCATGTAGGGGTCTGTACCCTGCAGCAAGCCAGGCCCTTGGCTCCCTCTCCTGACCTGCCATGTTAGAAATCCAGGAACCCCTCGCCCTGCTTCTGATCCCAGGCTCCTCCTACCAGTGACTCTTGCTGGCATGTCACTCTGCACCCCTCCCCATCTCTCCAGTCTTCTCTAGAATTGGAAGAGACTGCTCTGGTCCAAGGCCAGAGTCCAGCTCCAGGGACTGCCATTTAGGTCTCTCTAACCTAACCTGGCAGCCCCGCCACCCTCCCCACCCACCCTTCCCTCTGCTCCTGACCCTTGGCTCAAGTGGCCACCTACTGGTCTCCATCTCTCCTCTGGGTTGATCTCCAGGGTCTCACAGTACCCCCCCCCATTCCCCTCCCCGACCTAAAGTACACTGACCTCAAGATGTTCCTGCCCATGCCTGGCCCAGGGTCCCTTGTTGCCATTTCTACTGGGATGGCCCTCTCTGGCCACCACTGCCTGGGAGCCTGATGTCCCTGCTTTCACCTCCTCCAGCTTCCCTGCCTTCCCCCCGGCCCACCCAGCTCCAGGCCCACCCACGTTCCATCACCTGTCCACTCCTCCCTCAGGTCCTCCTGTCTTTCAGAAACATCTTGTCTGTGAGGCCCCCCTTGTCTGTTGAATCCTGCTGTGCTTCCCTACCCGAGTCCCTTCCGAGGGCCCCATTATTCCTGTGCTATTTTTCACTCTCTGTCTCCTGTCCCCCCGTTATAATGTGAGCTCTTCTGGGGTGGGAGGCTTTGTCTCCTTAACCCTCGCTTTATCCAAGGCTTGGACAGTGTCTGGACAGGGCACGTTCTCTCAGAAAACAGTGAGCGAGCGAGTGGATGCTTCCCCAGGCCACAGGCTGTGACAAAGGCTTCCACGAGTTCACATGTCCTCAAGACAGACCTGTGACTGTCATCAGATAAGGACAGGTCTGGAGAGTCAGGAGCTTGTCGCAGCATCTGCGCAGGCTGCCCAGGTTCCCGGCCCCAGTCATGGGGGGTCAAGACCCAAAGCCCAAGGAGCTGCCGGGTAGGATGGTAGAAGGTGGGCCACCCCTCCCCATGTCTCCTCCTGCTCCACCAGCCACTAGGAATCTGGGACCAGCTGAGGACTCTGCCCCCTGCTTCTATAGCAGGCTCCCTGTCAGCCAAGCTGAGGGCCCATGGGCCCTGTCCTGAGCTTGTGGCAGGGTCTCGGGGGGAGAAAGGCAGGGACAGCACTCCCCTTGCTCTGATGTGGACAAGGTGCGCAAGGCACGAGGCCAGGGAGCAGGAAGGCTCAGAAGCTGCTGTCTGCCCTGTCTGCTTTCTCTCTCCTCCAGAACCTCAGCCAGGTAACATGGCTCCCTGCCTCCCCAGCTCTTTCACCCTTATAGAAACTCCCTCCTGAAGCCAGGTGGTGTCTGGGCCTCATGGGCACGAGCCAGGTTGGTGGCAGATGACCTCGGAGAAAACTTCTAACTTAAAGGCCTGGGACGAAAATCCAGCCTTCCCCCATCCTGGTCCCTGGGGTGACCCCAGCTGGGTGCCGTGGCTCTTTGTTACCTTGGCCTCCAAGCCCTCATCTGTCCAGCCCTCCACAAGGGCCCTGGGTCAGTCGGGTCATGTCTAAGGTCCTGAGGCCAGTGGGTGGCGTATAAGGTCCCGGGGGCACCTGGCACAAGGGGAACTCGGCACGGGCAGATGCTGGGATCCGTGAGACTGTGACCAGTGGCGGGGCCTCCGGAGGGTCCTAGGGGTCAGGGTTGCTCCCCAGCCTGCTCTAGGAGCATCGAGCAAGCTTGTCCTGGAGCCGGTCTGCTTCCTTCCTGGCTGTCTGTGTGCCTGGGTCCCTGTGGCCTCTCTCAGGGTTGGTGACAAGACCCCTGAGGGGGTGGCTGGGCTCCACCAGCCCCCATGCTGAGCCCCCCAAGCCCCGCCCGCAGTGGGCACCTGGCCTCACCCGTGAAGAAGATGTAGTCAAACTTGTGCTCCAGCAGCTGCCCGGTCTCCTGGGGCCCTCCTAGCACCACGGCAAAGCAGCTCTGCAAGACGGGGTGGCAGACGGTTCCCTCTGGGACCCCAGCCTGGGGAACGCAGGGGGCTGCCGCATGCGTCCGCTCCCCCAGTTGCCTGGCCTGACCCACAGTTTCCGGGGCTCTAGATGAACCAGATGGGAGCAAGGTGGGAGCAGGGAGCTGCCCCGTGTCCCAAAAGGCGTGAGGTTAGAGCCTGGCTGGGGCTGGCGGGGAGAGGAGGCCAGGGCGGGGTGGTCAGGGCTGACCAGAAGACAGATGGGAGTCCCCGGGGACACACTCCTCAGAGCACAGCTGTGATCACTGCCCCTCTGTTTCACTCAGAGGGGAAGAGTCTGAGGGGGCAGCGACCCCGCCATGGCCGCACAATCCAGACGAGGCAGGATGGAGGTTGGAACTTGGGTCCTGCCCAAGGGGGCCTGCCTGGTCCTGCTGAGCCCAAGTGTAGCTGCTCAGCCCACTCCGTGCCCTGCTCACCTGGTCCAGGTATCGGGGCAGCACCTCAGCCAGGATCTTCTCGGTGCTCCTGCTGAACTCCGATGGCTTCAGCACCACGCAGTTCCCTGCAGGGCAGGGCAGGGCAGGGGGAGCGCTGGGAGAGGGGTGGCCCCTCCCATCTCCATTCAGTCCTTACACCTGCAGGGCGGGTGCCTGGCCCACTCTGCTCTCAGGTGAAGAATCTGGCTCAGAGACTGACAGGACCAAGGCCCCACTGCCCAGGGATGGTGGGCCAGGCGAGAACCAGCTTTTCTTAGTCACTCATCACCAGCTCCCCACTCCCTGGCTCTATGGGCCACCATGAGGCCTGAGGATGGGGACAGCGGGCAGAGGGAAGGTGGAAACTGCTCTCACCTGCAGCGAGGGCGCCCACCAGGGGCACCAAGGTCAAGTTCACGGGGTAGTTCCAGGGGGCAATGATGAGCACCAGGCCGAAGGGCTCCTTCCGGATGAAGGCTGAGTCCAGCTGCGTGGCCTGGGCCCCGGGGCCACCGTGGTGGTGAGTGGTGGGGCCTTGAGACTCCCAGCCCCTCCGCGCCACCCTCCAGCTGGCGAGGCTGCCCGCGCGCCCTCACCCCCCAGGCCAGCTCACCAGATTCTTGGGCACTTTCTCATCCTTCATCCAGGCCCTCAGATTCCTGAGGGCCAAGTCAATCTCGTTCTGGCTGATTCCGATCTCAGACATCTCCGCCTCGAAGGCTGACTGCAGGGGAGAGACAGGGGCAGGGTTCGGGCTGGGGGACCGCGGTCGTGGCCTCTCACTTGCTCCTTCATTCATTCACTCCGGGTTCAGTGAGTGCTTCCAGCGCTCAGGAGCCCTTCCTGTGCCAGGAACGCAGCAGTGACTGAGAGCGCGGAGAGCCTGCCCTGCAGAGCTGACGTTGTAGGGGGACAGCCGCCATGATGCTGAGAACACGGACGTGACCAGAGCAATGGAAGTGAAACGGGGAGGGGGACAGAGATTGCTGGAGTGTGTGCATGTGCGCGTGCATGTGTGTCGGGGGGCTGCTCACGCTCATGCGCATGTGAGTGCAGGGGCATGCATCAGTGCGTGAGTGTGCGCCTCTGTGTGCATGTGTGTGTGTTTGCTTTGCTTTCTACAAGATTATCAGTGCTGGCCTCTGGGATGAGGTGACATCTGAGCAGTGAGGATCGGGAGGGAGGGAGCCGATGGATACCTGGAGGCAGAATATTCCAGACAAAGGGCATAGTGTGAGCAAAGGCTCTGAGGTGGGCAAAGGCTTGCTATGTTCCTGGTTAGCAAGGAGCAGAGCGGTAAGGTGATGGCACCAGGCGGCAGGGGTGAGGACTGTCGAGGAGAGCACCCTGGTTTCATAAATGGGAAAACAGATGATTCCAGAAACGGCTGACAAGGAAGCCCGGGCCTCACCTGGCTACAGTCCCGGGGCATCAGGGTTAAGAGCAGGTTTGGAGACACCGAGAAAGGGAGCAGGCATCCCCAGGAAGCCAAGCCCTCAAGATAAGTCCTCGTAGCCCTACTTTGCTGTCCCCAAGGGATGACCCTGGATGCCATGAGGCACGAGTCTCAAAGTCTATGACTGTTCTGGGGACAGGGCGGACACTTGGTGGGGTGCCTGTGAGTCTGGAGGGTCCCAAGGAAGCTACTGAGGGCCCCTGACTCTGCTGGCCCCGGGGTCTCCCTCAGCCCACTGGAAGGGTGGGACCTCACCGGTTGGGAAGGAGCCACGGGCCTGGCCCTGAGGGGGCTGGTGGAACACAGGGGGTGGGTCTGGACACTGTGGCCTTAGTGGGAAGTGCAGAGGACATTTTGTCCTGAGAAGAACCCCCCGGACAGCTGTTCTGGGGCAGGAGTAGTCAAGCATGAGGCCCTGTCGGCTGAGGGGGCGGGAGGCTGCCCGCAAGCAAATGCATTGCTGTGGCTGCTGTGGGAATTGGGAGGAGCCGAGGCCTCAGGCTTGCGGGTTTGGAGAGAGGCCAATGACGCCCACCTTTCTGAGTGAAACTGAACTCACCCGTGGCCTACAAGGCGATACATGGTGTGATCTGCCTCCCTGGACCTCATCTTTTGTACATCTCGGCGTCTCTCACTCCCCTCCAGGTATGCTGGCCTCTTTGCTGCTCCTCAAGCACAAGGGCCTCCTGCCTCAGGGCCTTTGCACATGCTGTGCCCACCGCCATTTCCTCCAGTGTTCTCCCTCCTGCAGGTCTCTGCTCAAATGCCATCTCCTCAGAGAAACTGCCCCTGACTCCCACCTCTACAACAGCGCCCTGCTCCGCGTCCTCCCTCTCGCCCCTTTCACCCTGGGAATGTCTCTCCATGGCACCTGAAACCATCCAACATGCTATACAATTAGTTCTTTATTGTTTTGTGCCTCCCTCCAGAAGGCCAGCTCCTGGGCACAGGGGCTTTGTTTTACTTTCTGTTGTATCCCCAGAGCCTAGAACGGGAGACCCGGCACATGGTAGGTGCTCAGTAAAACGTTGCTGAGTGGATGAGAAATGCGGGGATGGACGTGTGCAGAGGAGGTGAAGAGGCGGTCAGGGCACAGGGAAGGGGGTAGGGTTTGCCGGGCGCTTAGTCCCCCCTCAAGGAGGAAGCTGCAGCCCCCATCCCGCATGCCCCCCACCCCTGCCTCCCCAGCCCTGCCCTCCTTCCGCCCACCTTGCGCAGGTCCTGCACCAGCGCCTCCTGCAGAAGCTGCTTGTTGTCCCGCAGGAAGCGGCCCAGGCTCTTGAGCTGCGCCGCCCGGAACTCAGCGGGCCTCGTCCGCCCTGAGCAGAAGGCCTCCCGCAGCCGCCGCAGGGTGTCCGCGAAGGGGTCCATCCTGCAGGGAGGGGGCAGCGTGGGCCGGGGCTCTCCACTTTCATGGGCATTCTCCCCGCGCCCCTGGCTGTACCTCTATGGGCTCACGGACACTTCTACAAGGACTCGCGTGTAACCCCAGAGGGCCTGGGCTGCACCCCGTGCACACGCGTACACACTCACACACACAGTCCCTTCCCCTTGGCCAGTGGGCAGGAGAGCCCTGGAGTCTGAGGTGGGTGCGGGACAGTGCGGGGGGCTTGGGAGGAGCTCCTCCGCAAGCAGCCCCTCCGCAAGCAGCCACGGGACCTCTCTTCTCCCTGCCACACAGAAATTAGCCCCGAGCCATGCCCCCATCCCACTCTGGCGCCCCTCCTGGAGATGGGGCAGTCCTCATCCTTGCCAGGCCTGCGCGGAATAACCAGGAAGAGATGATAAGTAGAGGACAGTCCACTAACAGCCACCATGGCCACCACTGTGGGACAATCCAGGCACAGAATACAGTGTCTCCTGCCCGTCTCCCGAGGGCACTGCCTGGGGAGGCCCGGCTGGCCCGTGGCGGCTCAGGGGGCCGGGTGACCTGGGCAGTGGCCTCCGCGGCCTATGCCCCGTCAGCGGCCCCAGCGTTGGAAGAGCGGGGAACAGTGGGGGGCAGGGGCTGAGGGGGCAGTGATGCTTCCATGCTGTCAGCAGCCAGGGCAGGAGATCTGGGTGCGGCCCCCACATTCCCCCGGGCCCCCACCTGTTTACTTGAAGCTCATCAGAGGAGCAGGGTGACGTACTCGCTTCTTGGCCTGGTGCCAAGGACCCGTGGGGACCCTTTCCTCCTGCCCTCTCAGACTGCCTTTCCTTCAGGTCTCGGCTTGGTGAACGCCTCCTCTAGGCAGCCCGCCCTGATTATTCCCTCTCACGGGGAGTGGGTTTCATCCTCTCTCCCACTGGCCCCTCTTTGCCTAACTACCTGAGTTAGGTCCTAGTGCCTTGATCTCCTTATCTGGCAGGGGGGTAACAATAGTGCCCACCAGCTGACAAGCTGTTTTTCAAAGATGAGACCATGCTGTCCAGTTCTGAGCACAGGGCTGGGCATCAGCACGGCCAAGGCTGCCAGTTGTTAAGTGGCTACCCCACAGCCCTCAGAATTCTGGAGTGATCCATGGCCCTGAGAGCTGAGCCTGCTCCAGCCAATCAGATGGCCCGGCCCGAAGGGCACTCTGCTGGCTGGAGCTCTGGGCATGATGGGGGGCCAGGCTGACCCCACAGGCCTCCTGCTCTGGTCAGGAGAAACAGAGCAGTTGCCTGGGGGCACAAGGCAGGCCCCATGGGCCCCAGCCTTGCCCCAGACCCCACCCTCCTTCTTGGTGGAAGGGGAGCTGGTCAGTGCAGAGGCCCAGGAGCCAAGAGCCCTACCGGCCTCCAGAGCTGCCATCTGGGCTTGTCCCCCGGCTCGGCCTCCTACTGGCCTTATGACCTCGGGCAGGTCACTCATCTCTCTGCCTCAATTTCCTTGTCTGTAGAGTGAGGATAATAGCACTTGCCATCGTCCAGACGAGTAAATGACATAAGGCCCCCTAAAGTGTTGGCCACTGCGCACATGATACGGGGCTCGAGAAAGGTCAGCTGCGGTTGTGATCACTAAGTACCTAACAAGTGTTTCTTCCTCCCCACCCGCCACCACTCCTTGTTCTGTCTCGCGGGCACCTCCGGACCCCTGCTGATGGATGTGGAGGGCAAAGCACACCCACCTCACCTGCCCCCGCAGGGTTCTTTGCCTTTTCATAAGAAATGTCTGCAGAGGAAAAAAAAAAAAAAAAAGAAATGTCTGCAGAGGGATGCCTGGGTGGCTCAGTCGTTAAGCGTCTGCCTTCAGCTCAGGTCATGATCCCAGGGTCCTGGGATCGAGTCCCGCATCGGGCTCCCTGCTCAGTGGGGAGCCTGCTTCTCCCTCTCCCACTCCCCCTGCTTGTGTTCTCTCTCTCTCTGTGTCTCTCTCTGTCAAATAAATAAAAAATCTTAAAAAAAAAAAAAAAGAAATGTTTGCAGAACCCACAAAAATGTAAGACACGTAACTGGAATGGCACACCTCTGGGCGAGGGAGGGGTGGGGAACTTTGTGGGGGTGCAGGCCCGGACAGAACATTCCAGCAGCCTCGCCTAGCAACACTGAGGCCAACTCACCCCATATTGCCCCCCCCCCCAGGTTGGTCACTGGACTGAGGGACCAAGAGGTGCCTGTTACGGGATCGGAAGCTGGGCACTGCCCAGGTGTGTCCAGGAGCCCAGGCCACCTCCTGCCTGGGGTCTGGAGGGGGGGCGGCTGGGCCTGTGACCTCACAAAGGATACACAGATGAGGGGCTTCCTGGATGGGCCTGCGCCGGGGTCTTTGAGCCCACCTCCACCCCCCAACCCCGCACCCCCGGGGTACATGTGATACTAGGAAGCTCGTAAGGATGTTGAGTGACATTTCCTGTGCCTGCATGACTCATTTGACCACCACAACAGCCTGCCTAGGGCACCGTCTTGTCCCCTGCAAGGAGAGGGACACCTCGGCACAGAGAGGGCAAGGAGGTGGCCCAAGACCACCCAGCTTCTCTACACTGGAAACCTGGATGCAGAGGAATCCGGAGGAACAGAGGGCTGCCCACCTCCACTCTTCATGCCCCTACGTGGCAGCCTGACCCCTTGGGAGAGGGGACCCCTTGGGGGCTGGCTTGAACTGCAGATGCAGGGCCCGTGGGCAGGGGCGTGGGGCTGGACTTGGGCGGTGCCCTCAAGGGTGAGAAGACACACTGGTTGTACCCTGCTCTCTGCCTCTGTCTCTTCACTATTCCCATCAGTTCCCACCCTGCTTCCCCTTGTGGCCTCCTCGGGCTGAGTGCTGAGAGGTCCCAGGGACTGGCGGGCCCAGGGGTCCCCTGCCCGCTAAGGGTGCCCCAGCTTCAACCGCCTGCTGCACTGCATCTATTCCTGACCTTCAGCTCTTGGGTGAGGTGGGTGGGGTGGGACTTGCTAAGTCAGTTGATGATGACAAGGGACAGGCCTGTTTCCCTTGGTTTGGAGGCCAGGGGAGGACATGCCACATCCCCTCAAGGCCCTGGGCCTGGGGACTCCTCTAATCATCATAATGAGCAGGTGTTGCACGGCACCCCTAGGGGAAGCTGAGGCCCACACAGGTCGCATGGCGTCAGGGAGGGGTGAGTAAGCTGGGCACGCAGGTCTGCTGGGAATCTACTGCCCCCACCCCAGCCCTGCACGGTGGCCAGGCCTGCTGATGAGCTCTCCATGGCACAGGATCCCCCCCTTCTCCCCACCCAGCCTCCGCATACTCTTGTCATTCTCTCCGTCTCAGCTTCCTGAGCTGTCCTGGATGCCTCCTAAGGGAACCCCCCCTTTTTTTTAAAGTAGGCTCCATACCCAGTGTGGAGCCCAATGTGGGGTTTTGAACTCACAACCCTGAGATAAGAACTTGAGCTGAGATCAAGAGTTGGATGCTCGGGCGCCTGGGTGGCTCAGTCGTTAAGCGTCTGCCTTCGGCTCAGGTCATGATCCCAGGGTCCTGGGATAGAGTCCCGCATCGGGCTCCCCGCTTGGCGGGAGGCCTGCTTCTCCCTCTCCCACTCCCCCTGCTTGTGTTCCTGCTCTCGCTGTCTCTCTCTCTGTCAAATAAATAAAATCTTAAAAAAAAAAAAAAAAAGAGTTGGATGCTCAACCGACTGAACCACCCAGGTGCCTCCCTAAGAGCACCCCTTTGGTATGGTGTCAGGGCCCAGTGATCTGGGGTCGAATCCCAGCAGCCCTGTTTGTGGGCTGGGAGTCCTTGGGCGGGTTGCTCAGCTCTTCTCTGGCTCGCCTTCCCCATCCGTGAAATGGGGATGGTACCTGAAGCTGTCCCATGGCGCTGCTGGGAGAATTCAGGCGTGCAGTGCTCTGTGCAGGGCCGAGCCCTCTGAGTGCTCAGTGACAATGGCTCTGACGAGCATTATTCAGACAGACTGTGAAGGACAGCTGTGCAAAGGGGGCTCCAGGGAGGAGACCCTGGGGTAGAGCCCGAGGAGACCTTGGCCCAGTGTGGGCACCAGGGAGGCAAGGACATCAACCGGAGCCCCATGTGGGGGCAGGGATATGGAGCTGGCCAGGGTGACAGAGATAAACATGGGGCTCTGAGGGTCTGGGAGACCTCAATCAGGCTGCCAGAGGTGGAGGTCACAGGGCCACCTTGATGACCCCACAGGTCCTAATACCCCAGAGTCTCCAATCTGATCTCTCCCTGGAGCCTGAACCTGGCTTTTCATGGGCTCTCCAGAAGCTCTGGCAGAGTCCCCTCCCTACAATGGGGGCTGAGGGAACTGGGGATCAACGCTTAGCCTGTGGGCTGAGCCAACGCCAGCCCCACCCCACAGAGAGCTCCCCTGAAGCCGGCCCAGTCCCTCTGATGATCAGTCCCTCCTCCAGGCAGGGCAGAGTCTTGCTAGTCCCTCCTTCCCGGGCCCCGGCAGAGCCTGCTCAAGAATGGGATGTCCCAGAGTCACTGGGTACCCCGGCCCCAGCACCCGGCTCGCCTAGCAGTGCCCAGAAACTGTGTGTTGCCAGATGGATGCTTGCCCCGCGCCACCCCCCAGGGACGGGGGTGCATTTCTCCTGGGGCATCCAGGCCCAGAGCTGGGGTCCCCAGCTCCGGAAAAGATGTGCTGTAGCCTCAGTGAGAGGCAAGTGTTGGCCCAGCTCAGACAAAATGAGGGTGGCTGTCGGCCACCAGACTCAGGAGCCCCCTGAGCCTCTCCTCAGCCCCTCCCTCTCCGGCTCTTAGGTCCGGGCAGAGGGAAGTTCCTTCCTCCTTCCCCTTTCTCCCCCGGCAGGCAGAGGAGCTAGGGGAAGACAAAGCCAGCCTGTGTGTGTGGCCGCCAGGGGCCAGGCCTGCAAGCCTGGTGTCCCCGAGCAAGCCCACCAGCCTGGTCCCGGGCCCTGATGGCCAGCTGCTCTACCCCTGCCTCCCTGGGACAGCGTACCTGAGGCCCCGCCAAGCTGCCCTTCCTCCTGGCCGTCCCTGCTCTGCCCCGCTGCCCTGTCGTCAGCAGTCGTTATGAAATGTCTGAAGCTGGGCGGGCCCCTGGGGCGGGGCTGCCCTGGCCTCCTGCCTGACCTGGGCTCTGGGCCGGCTGGAAGCTGCAGACAGAGACTTATTACCTCTCTTAAGGGCCTCTCCCACACCACAGAGAAGGAGCCAGGGCCCAGAGAAGGCCAGCACAAGTCCAAAGTCACACAGCAGGACTTCAGGGAGCTCTGAGCTGAGGGGTCCAGACCAAGGTCTCACCAGACCCAGGCCCAGCTGGAGGAGGAGGAGAGCCTGGGGCTGTGGCCCTGGGAATTCTGGTGTGGGGTGGGGTCTGGTAGCCTGGAATAGCAGGGAAAGCCCTGCCCCCAGCCCCCAGCCCCCGCCCCCGGCCCCCATGAGCCTCGGTTTTCCGACATCCACTGACCCCTCTGTTCCCTAGCTCTCCCCGCATCTGTGTCCATCCATGTCACCTCATCCAGCACCCCTTCTCAGGACAGGTCATCCTGCAACCTGACATTTCACAATGCGAAAACAGAGCCCCGGAGAGGGGACCGGACTTGAGCACACAGGGCATGAACGGCAGGGCTGGGACCACACTGGAAGCTTGTCACTCTGGAGCAGAGGGGCCGTGTCCATCCCCAGAGGCCCCCTCCCACCACCTGGGGTAGCACTCCACCCTCTGCCCTCTAGGTTGCTGTCACATAAGTGTCACTATGGCGGTTCCTGTGGTCTTCCTCCTCTGGTGCCTGAGCTGTGCCAAGGGGGCCCGTCCTCTGTCTCACCGCGGCCCCCACCCCAGGCACACCTGTCGGAGCCAGCACAAAGGGGGACGGTTCCCGAGCAGCTGCTGGTGTCAGACAGGCAGGTGATTAGATTACAGGTGTGGGGCCAGGAGCATCCTTTGTGCCATCGCCCCGTGCCTGCCACCCTGGGCCCGCCACTGCCCCTCTGTCTTGGTGCCCTGGGTGTCTGCCTGGTATCCTGGCCCGGGGCCTCTGGGCCAACCCGGCACCTGGGAGATGCTTCTCACCGCCCCGGCCCTCCCCGCTCCCCCTGCCTACCTGGGGGGCAGGAGAGGTCTCCTGGCCCACAGCTGCTCTGGTTGCCCTGGAGGCTTCAGCCAGCTGGGACAGGGGGAAAGGGCTGCAGAGGCCCCCCGTCCTCTGCGTGGGATAGAGCCCCCAGCCGCTGCCCGTCACGTGGCTCAGCATGTGACAGCCCTGCCCTGCTGTCTGGAGCTGAGCCAGGCGAAGGCAGTGGCAGAGCCGGCACCAGGCGGGGCTGGGCTGGGGCTGAGCCTGACAGCCCTTACTCAGGAACCAGGCCCAGAGAGGGGCAGCCACTGGTCTAAGGCTACACAGCAAATCGGGGGCCCAGCTGGGGAGGCACTGGTGGGTGAGATGGGTGTTGCAGGATCCTGAAGGGACCCCTCCTGGCCAAGGATCGCCTTGCAGGGACCACCAGTGAACTTGTCATGAGTTCGGGAACAGCCCGGGCCATCTCCAAAGAGGCCTGGCCTGCTGGCACAGGGGTCCTAACCTGGCCTGGCAGTGAAGCTCCCCCGGTTTGAGGGGGCATTGCCTCTTGGGGAGGAAGACGTACCCTCCCCTCTCTCTGGTTTGGAGGCTTCTATTGATCCTCGAAGGTCCAGGGGCTCCGTGCGTTCTGGACGTTATGTCCCTGTTGTGAGAGCTCAAGATAAATGGGGAGAGGTCTGTGTGGGGTCCCACCAGGACACACCCTTAGAACCAGTTCTGATGGGTGACAGGCTCTGCCAAGGACCCAGGTCGGCCAGGTGGGGTTGCACATTGGGGGAGCACAGAGGTTGGAAGAAGGAACACAGAGGCCTCGCTCCCCCACATTTGCCTCAGCCCTGCATGCTGGCAAGTCCTCTGGGTTTCAGTTTGGAGGCTGGGATGAAATGACCTTCATTATGGTCACCTTTTCCCTCCTTCTCCAGGGTAGAGAGGTGGGGGAGGATGGGCTGGTCTTGGGTTATGGCATCAGGCAGACTCATTAATTCACTCATTCGTTCACTTCCTCCCTCCCTCAGCTCCCTCAGACACCTAGTGAGCCTGGCTCACGGGGCCTCAGACCTGCCCAGGCACATCTCACCACCTTGCCTGCTGACAGAGACTCAAAGCAGGCTCCCCTGCCCAACTGCTAAGCGGCCTTGAGCAGGTCGTGGCCCCTCTCACGGTCTTCTTCGCTTCCCACCTTGTGGAGCGGGGCTGACTCTGCCTGCCTCACAGGCTGCCACAAAGGAGAAATAGGAGTGCATCTGGAAACATTGGGTATACAGTAGGTGCTCAGTAGGCATGGATGCCTTTCTGCCCCTTTCCTGCCCTCCTGAGGGACTGGCCACCCTGGCCTTGTCCCTGAGACCCTGCCCCCACCTTCCTTCCTTGTCTTTTGCCTTAGGGTGAGCCCACCCTGGCTCCTCCCCCCCACCCCCCAGCCCCCCCTCAGAAACCAGCAGGACCCATCCCACGGTGTGCTAAGTAAGCACCGTGCCAGGCGCTCGACGCAAATCCTCATGGAGTCTCGGACACTGTGGTCCTAGCTTGCGGGAGAGACAGCAAGCTCGGAAACGTGCAGTGACCGGGGCAGGAACACACAGGAAGAGTGACAGAGGGGGACTCTAGCCCAGCAAGGCCCACAGCATTTCCAGGGTGCCCTGAGCCCTTGCTTAGGAGTGCACAGGGTCACCCTCACTCCCGGGAGCCTCATCTCTCAGCTGAAAGCAGCAGGCTCTGTTTCTTGGGCATTTGCTGTGCCAGGCACTGGTCTGGTTCTTGGCACATCTCTGCTTGGGGATCTCCCAACAGCCTGTGGTGATTGTCATCCCCAAGGCTTTTAGTTTAAAAAAAAAATGGCGAAGAGTCAACTCCATGCCAGGAGGTTGGCGTCAGGTGAATGAGGAGTGGCGGAGTCATTGCAGTGCGGAGTCTGCTTGGGATTCTCTCTCCCTCTGTCCTTCCTGCTTGTGCTCTTTCTCTCTCTCATATAAATAAATCTTTAAAAAGTAATAAAATTAAATTAAAAGTCACCAACAGACCACAGAAGGAGTCCATGTGTAACAAGGACTTTTTTTTTTCTAGAGAGAGAGTGCGTGTGTGAGCAAAAGTAGAGGGAGTAGGGAGTGGGAAGGGGGGGAGGGGCAGAGGGAGAGAGAATCTCAAGCTGACTCCACACCCGGCTCGGAGCCCCATGTGGGGTTCAATTTCATGACTCTGAGATCATGACCTGAGCCGAAATCAACAGTCAGCCTTTTTTTTTTTTTTTAAGATTTTATTTATTTATTTGAGAGAGAATGAGATAGAGAGAGAGCATGAGGCAGGGAGGGTCCGAGGGAGAAGCATGCTCCCCACTGAGCAGGGAGCCCGATGCGGGACTCGATCCCGGGACTCCAGGATCATGACCTGAGCTGAAGGCAGTCGCCCAACCAACTGAGCCACCCAGGGGCCCAAGAGTCAGACTCTTAACTGACTCAGCCACCCAGGCACCCTGACAAGGACTTTATTTAGTTATTTATTTATTTTAAAGGTTTTTATTTATTTGACAGAGAACGAGAGAGAGAGAGCACAAGCAGGGGGAGGGTCAGAGGGCAGAGGGAAAAGCAGACTCCTCTCCGAGCAGGGAGCCGATGCGGGGCTCCACCCCAGGACTGTGGGATCCCGACCTGAGCTGAAGGCAGATGCCCAACCAATTGAACCACCCAGGCGCCCCCTGACAAGGACTTTACTTAAACAATTCTGGGACCTTAACTGTGCAGGAACCTCTTTCATAGGCCCGAACTGGGACCCAGAGGAAGCCTGCACCCTCATGGAAGTCAGCACCTACCTACAGAGTGTCTGGGCAAGAACACGTGTCACACTGGGGGAGGTTCTGGGACACATGGGTACTGGTATTTTCCTTATGGAGGGCAGTCCACGGTCTCCCTGGAACAACGTGTCTGCTCTCCTGCCACCTTCTCTTTGCTTTCGGGTTGTTTCTTCAAACACACTGCTTGATTTCCTCTTGGGGACCTTCTGGTGGGAGACGGAAAAAGTCAGTGACTTCTGAGTCGGCCTGAGACATTGGCTGTTCAGCAAGCCTTGCCCCCTCTTCCCCGGAGCAGAGAAATCCACTTTAGGGACCTTTCCCCTCGGACCACACACACCCACTCAGGGCGTGGAAATGCCCCACACAGTCTGTGAGCTTCTCTCCCTGCCTCGCGGGCCCATAACGGACGGTTGGCTCTTGGACCACAGCGTAAAGACGCTACATCTCAGAGCTTCCTGGTCCTTTCAGAAGTCACCCACCTTCCCCTCTCTCCATTCATAAGACTTTTGTGGGCCTGCCTCTTCCTGATGTAGGGACAACTAAACCCCTCCCGTCCTGTCTCTCTCCATAAGAGCCATCTGGCCTGGGACACCTCCTCTCTCGACTCTTAAGGTGTGCTCTGGTGTCCGGGATGCTTCTGTTCCTCTGGCCCCCCGCCACCCTGTTTTTAGCCAGTGGAAGTCCTTTTCCGCTTACTCCTGTTTGGTAGGTGCGGGGGGACTCTGTGCAAGGTGAGGTGCTGGGGTTTCCCACACTGATGCCAGAGAAGACCGGATACCCAGCTGGGGGGATGCCCTGGGGATGCTGCTCCAGGGAGAGAGGGCCCTTCACCAACCTCTTCCTCCCTGGCTTGTTCTGGGTTCTTGGTCACTGGGGTTGGAGGAGACATGGCTGCCGGCCCAGGGCACTTGGTCATTTCTTTCCTTAGCGCTCTCAAGAAAAAAAGGGTTTTATAGACCACAGATGCTGGTGTCCACCCAGGCCCAAGATGGTTTTAGAAGGGGCAAGGGCTCATTCTTGGCATCCTCCTCACTCTCCTGCAGAGGCTCCGGACCCTCTGCCTCCTAATCCCTGCTCCACTGAGCTCACTCCCTGAGGCCACACCACCCACCTCAGGCAGCCACGTCTCCTGCTCAGCTACTAAATTCTACAGGACTGCATCCTCCTGGGGGCATCACAGGCCCCCACCCCAACCTGCCCCATGACCTCCTGCACCTCCTCATCCCTTCCCGCCCCCTGCGCCACCGCCACACCCGGGTCTTGGTCATCCCCCAAGGTAATGAATCTCAGTTTTTTGACCACAGCCTCCTGGCCTGCTAGCCTTCCAGCGCCCACTGCATCCCCGCTGTCCTGTCTCTTCCTGCCCCTAGAGCTCGGGCCCACCCTCCCTCCCGCAGCTTTTGTAGCTTCTGCTTCTGGGCACCTCGGGCCCGACTCCGCCTGTCTGCTCACCCCACATCTGCACCTGGGTGGTCTGGAGAAAACTGCAGCCTGAAGCCTGGGCAGACTCATGCCCTCCACACCCCCAGCTCCCTGCCTTCCCAGCAACCCTTCTGAGATGGATATTTGTCACCCATTCACTCACCCATCCACTCACATTTATTGAGCACCTACTAAGTGCTGGCACGTTCTGCTGCATGAAGGGAACGTGGTGAGCATTTGCCAGGGGTGGGGTGGGATAGGGTGGGGGAAGAGACCATTAAATCACAGAAAACCAGGAGGGAAAGAGTCAGAGGTGGGGCCTGTACCCCTCATCGGGTGGCTTCTTATCCTGAGAGCTGAGGGTGGGAAGGACAGTCCCTGGCAGGAGCAGCATGGGCAAAGTGGGGCGAGGGAGGGAAACTGGACATTTTTTTAAATTGAGATATAATTGACATATAATATTGTATAAGTTTCAGGTGTACAACATACTGATTTGACACATTTCTGTTGCAACGTGATTGCCAAGTAGTGCTCGCTAACACCTCTATCCCATGGCAGGGTTATCGTCTCCTCTAGCCGGGGGAATAACGGAGACCTAGGCTCTTAGCAGACTTGCTGTTTATCATACAGTTTGGTTGTCTGTAATCCCTGCACCGTGTCTTCCATCTCTAGGACTCATTTACCTTCCCGTTGCTGGTATGTACCCTTGAACAACGCCTCTCCCATGCCCCCACCCCTGGGCCTGGTGGCCAGCATTCCACTCTGGCTTTTGGAGTCAGTTTTGATGCCATTTTTAGATTCCACCTAGAAGATGCATCATACCATGCTTGTGTTTCTCCACCTGACACGTTTCCCTTAGCATAATATCTTTGGAGGTCCATCCGTGTTGTTGCAAATGGCAGAATTTCCTCTTTTTCCTTATAGCTGAAAGGTAGGTCATTGTATATATGTGCACCACATTTCCTTTATCCATCCACCCATGGATGGACACTTAGGTTGTTTGCGTATCTTGGCAATTATAAATAATACTGCAGTGGGGACGCCTGGGTGCCTCAGTTGGTTGAGTGTCTGACTCTTGATTTTGGCTCAGGTTGTGATCCCAGGGTTGTGGGATTGAGCTTCATGTGGGCTCCGCGCTCAGCGGGAAGTTGGCTTGGGATTCTCTCCCTCTCCCCCTCTGCCCCACCCTCCCTAAAATAAATAAATATATAAAACCTTTAAAAAATAATACTGCAGTGACATGGGAGTGCAGATATATTTTTGATAACCCGTTTTCATTTCCTTTGGATATAAGGGATTGCTAGATCATACGGTAGTTCTATTGTGAGCTTTCGGAGGAACTCCAGACCATTCTCCAAAATGGCTGGACCAGTTTAGCATTCTACCAACAGTGCACAAGAGTCCCTTTTTCTCTACATCCTCACCAACACTTGTTATTCCTCGTCTTCTTGATTGATAGCCATTTTTACAGGTGTGGTTTTGATTTGTTTTTCTCTGATTAGTGGCACCCTTCCATGGATCTGTTGGCCATTGGGATGTCTTCTTTGGAAAAAAAATGTCTAATTCTTCTGCCCATTTTAAAATCAGAGTGTTTGGGTTTTTTTGCTGTTGAGTTGTATGAATTCTTTATAAATTTTGGAACCCCTTACCTGATATGTAGTTTACAAATATTCTCTCCCATTCTGTAGATTGCCTTTTTAAAAATTTATTTATTTATTTATTTGACAGAGAGAGACACAGCGAGAGAGCGAGCACAAGTAGGGGGAGTAGGAGAGGGAGAAGCAGGCTCCCCGCTGAGCAGGGAGCCCAGTGTGGGGCTTGATCCCTGGACCCTGGGACCATGACCTGAGCTGAAGGCAGACGCTTAACGACTGAGCCACCCAGGCGCCCCTGTAGATTGCCTTTTATTTTAACGGTTTCTTTTGCAGTGCAGAAGCTTTTAAGTTTGATGTAGTTCCACCTGTTGATTTTTTTTTCTTGTGTTCATGCTTTTGGTGTTATATCCGAAGACTCTTTCCAAGACCAATGCCAAGGAGCTTCTCCCCTGTTTTCTTCTAGGAGTTTTATGGATTCAGGTCTTATGTTTAAGCCTTTGATCCATTTCAAATTAAATTTTGTGAGGGTATAAATGGGGGGTCCAATTTCATTTTTCTGCGTGTGGTTATTCAGGTTTCCCAACACCATTTGTTGAAGAGTCTGACCTGGGAACTGTGTATTTTTAAAAGCAGTCATCCGCAGTGTTTCCAACCAGGGTGATAGCCAATGCTGGGGAGCCTCAGCTCCTGCAAGGCAAGAACTTCGTGGACTCGCTGCAGCCCAGACCCAGCGGGGAGGCTCTGGACCCGGAGGCCGGAGGTCGACCCACTGGAGTCCTCAGCCTCCCACCGCCCCTGCCAGAACTCCCACCTGTAGATGCCAAACTGAAACTGGAGGGCGCGCGGGCCGTGGGCACGGGCTGTCAAGTCCCGTGCCGTGGGAGCCCGCGGTGGGGCTACTATGGGGGCTCTTTGCTGACCTGCAAACACGCCGCATGGGGCTGGAGGTGGGGCCAGGGATGACAGTGGTAGCACTGCGGGGACCCTATTATGGGCCTGGCCCTCGTCTAAGGCTCTGCATTCATTTAGTAATCCGGCACCAGCCCTGGGAAGCGGCGCTGAGTGAGAAAACGGAGGCACAGAGAGGTGGAGCGAATTCCCCAAGTCGCAAAGCCAGGAAGCGGCTGCGTGAAGATTCGAACTCACGTCTCCGGTCCCTGAGGCCGGGTCGGGGCGGCACCGGGCCACGCGGCCACGCCCCCCCCGCGCGCGCCCGGACGCCCTGGACACGCCCCTCGCGAGGGGGCGGCCCGCGGGGCGGGGCGGCGCGGGGCGGGGCGGGGCCCGGTCCCGGCCGCCGGGAGGAAGTGCCCCGCGGGCTGCTCACACGCGCGGCGGCCGCCGCCAGTGCTCCCGCGGCGGTCGGGCCATGGAGGCGGTGCCGCCGCTCTACCGGGTGGCGGGGACCGCGGGGCCGCAGGGAGATGAGGATCGGCTCGGGGTCCCCGACGGGCCCGGGGCTCCGGTGAGCGGGGACGGGTCTGCGAAGGGGTGCGAGGACGCGGAGGGGGGGGCCTCCCCGGCGGGGGTGCGAGGCAGCCCCGGGGCTGGGCCGGGGCGGCGGCGGGGGCAGGGCCCGGGGCCTCCCGGGCGGGAGTGCGACGGCCGCTGCCCGGGTGCGAGCGCCGTGCGTGCCCCGCAGCTGGACGAGCTGGTGGGCGCGTACCCCAACTACAACGAGGAGGAGGAGGAGCGCCGCTACTACCGCCGCAAGCGCCTCGGCGTGCTCAAGAACGTGCTGGCGGCCAGCGCGGGCGGCACGCTCACCTACGGCGTCTACCTGGGTAGGCGGCCCCGCGGGCTCCCGCGCCGGGGGCCACGGCTCCGCGCCGCGGCCGCGCTCCCGGGCCCCGGTCAGGGAAGGAGAAACCTTCGGGGCCAGTTGGCCTCCCTTCCTCTTTCACTTCCCCAAAGGCCGCCTCGCAGCTGCAGCTGTGGCCCCGCCACACGGAGGTGGGGTCCCCGTGCCGCGTCCCTGGTTCGCAGCCAGAGCCCTCGTGAGCGTGTGGGCAGGACTGGGCGCCCGGGGCAGGTGTGCGGCCTTCCAGATCTGGAGCGCTGCCCGTGAGGGAGAATGAGAGAGAGAGAGAGAGAGAGAGAGAGATTGGGGGGGGGGGGTTCTGGATTCACTGGCTGTCAGGACGCTTGGCCCAGTCCGGGCAGCCCTCTCTGTCCTCATGGGCGTTGGAATCGGGGACTCCTTTGGCGACCGGAGCTCCCTTCAAGCTCGTGGCTAGCCCCCGTTCTGTCGTTCTGTCGCCGCCTGAGTTAGGCTGCCCCCGTCATGCCCTCCCTATTCCCAGGCCTCCTGCAGATGCAGCTGATCCTGCACTACGATGAGACCTACCGCGAGGTGAAGTATGGCAACATGGGGCTGCCCGACATTGACAGCAAGATGCTGATGGGCATCAACGTGACGCCCATCGCTGCTTTGCTCTACACACCTGTGCTCATCAGGTGCGCTGCTGCTGTCCCCAGCAGGGCTGGGCCGTCACCCAGATGTTGAAGGGGTGCAAGGGCTGTTGGCCCATGGTGTTCTTGGGGGCAGGGAGCTGGGGAGAGGCCTTGCCTACCTGGAGGGGTGAGAGAGAAGGAGAGAACCTGGGTTTGGGGAAGGAAGCAGGAGCTTCACCGGAGGGCACCTTTGACACCACAGAAGTTCACTCCGGCTCCTTCCCTCAGCTTGCCTCACGTGGCATTAACTGCTTTGCGCCCTCCTCCGTGGCCTGGAGCTACAGTGAGTGACCTTTGGGCTCAGGGCTGGGGAATCTCTGGAGAAAATATGATCAGCCAACAAGGCCCAGGCACCAAGCCTGGCCTCACCAGCTGTGGTCAGCGTTGAGGGACATTTCTCACTGAAGAGGCAGGGCTGGGTGCCCCAGAGGGTTTACCCTGGACTGGAGCCTTGGAGGCATCTGGTCCAGCCTCCTGACCGGTGCAAAACTCCCCCCCACAAACACCCTCCCCACCAGGAGGTAGGTCTCTGCTCAGACGAGACCCAGAGACTAGCAGACAAGTTAGATGGGTTTTAGTTTCTCTATCTTAAACCAAAAACCAAACAAACAAGAAACAAACAAACCCTCCAAACCCAAAAAACTCAAAACTCCTTTAACATAATTGTATAAACAGCATTAGAATCACAACTAGAGGGCGCCTGGGTGGCTCAGTCATTAAGCGTCTGCCTTCTGCTCAGGTCATGATCCCAGGGTCCTGGGATGGAGTCCCACATCGGGCTCCCTGCTCGGCAGGAAGCCTGCTTCTCCCTCTCCCACTCCCCCTGCTTGTGTTCCTGCTCTCGCTATTTCTCTCTCTGTCAAATAAATAAATAAAATCTTTAAAAAAAAAAAAAAAAGAATCACAACTAGAATCAGAAAAAAGAAAATCCTTCCCAAGCCCGCCAGTAAATCAGCTGTTTTGTTGTCCCCCCCGCACAGATGGGTAACGTTTATGTCCTTGTCACCAGAGCGTGTGCAACATTCACTTTTACTTTCTTTCCTTTCATGACACACATCTTGGCCTGCTCCTCCATCTTCACGCTGAGGACTTTATGAGGGTAGCACCCTCTGCCGAGATGGGGGCACCCAACCGTGCCTCAGAGTTGGACATTCAGCTCCCTCTCCTTTTTGCACATTCACTTTGTATTTGTAGCTCTTTCTTCTTTTTTTAAAAAAATATTTTATTTATTTATTTGAGAGAGAGAGAGAGCATGAGCATGGGGAGAGATAGAGGGAGGGGGAAAGGGAGAAGCAGACTCCCCACTAAGTGCCCAGTGGGACGCGGGGCTCGAGCCCAGGACCCTGAGATCATGAACCGAGCCGAAGTCAGATGCTTAACTGACTGAGCCACCCAGGTGCCCCTAGCTCTTTCCTTCTTAAAAAAAAAAAAAAAAAATTGCAATGACGAATTTCTAGCAGTGGCCTTAGCAGAGTAGAGGTATATGAAAGGTTTTTTGGCTCTTAAGACATATCACTATTTTTTTTTTAAAGATTTTATTTATTTGACAGAGAAAGACACAGCGAGAGAGGGAACACACGGGGAGTGGGAGAGGGAGAAGCAGACCCCCTGCCGAGCAGGGAGCCCGATGCGGGACTCGATCCCGGGACTCCAGGATCATGACCTGAGCCGAAGGCAGTCGCTTAACCAACTGAGCCACCCAGGCGCCCAAGACATATCACTATTGATAATAACAGCTACCTCTTATTTTGCTTCCCATGTGCTGGGCACTTTGTAAATGCTACCTCATTTCCTACAATCCAAGGTAGGTGCTCTAATAGACACGGAGAAGCTGAGACATTCAGCAGCTTGCCCAGGTCCCACAGGCAGCTCCTGGCAGTCTGAAAGTTTGAGTCCCCCGCCCCAAGTTTGCCCCTTGCCCAAACTACCGGGCTAATTTTCTAAAGGGCTATGCCAGTCTGCATGACCATGGGCCATGTGCATCATTTTTTAAACCACAGCCTCACCAGCAGTGAGTGTTAGTATTTTTACTTTTTGCTTATTTACTCCATCAAAATGTATAGTACATTTTTTGTGGCTTGCCCTCCCCCAAATAGACCAGAGTAGGCTGCCTATTTATTACATGGCAAAATATGGATAATAAAAGAACCAGGGCCCCCTGTAATAGAAGAGAAAGTAATTTTATCGGAAAATTAGGGTCATTTGGCTTTGAGCTTCCTGGAAACCAAGGCAAAGTAAGGAACTAATAAGCACCAATACTCAAAACACCCCAAAGTTCCTGGTGGTAGTTTTTAGTCTGACGAACCTCCATGCCCTGAATGGGCCCTTAGCCAGTCACTGATCAGCCACCTTTAAACACAGTGTGACCTTTCCTCGGAGTCAGCAAGGCTGTTGTCCTAGGAGCTAGTGGGGAAGAAACTTCCCACGTGAGCACAGTGGGACTGCGAGAGCAATGGGCAGGGAGGAAGAGATACTGGCCCTGTCTCCGACCCTCCAGTTCGGGCTGTGTTCCCCGGGTGCCCTGAAGTTACAACACATGAGATTGGATGGAAGAGGGGGATTGGCCAGTCAGCCCAGAACACAAATGAGGGCTGGATGTGCCCATAGACCACTGACTCATCACCCTCCCCCATATCCCCCCCTTCCTTGAAACAGCGCTGAGAGGCTGTGGTTTGGGCTCTGTGCCCACATTAAGCTGTGAAACTGAAGCGTGTAGACACAGGGCTCCCCTGAGACCACCAGCAAGGCCATATCTCTGCTACTCCATCTTAGAGCCCCTGACCCCAAGGCCAGGGATTGCTCCCCACCTCACACCAGCTCATGAGCTGGGACCTGGAGCTGGGGCCACCCTGGCTTCAGGCCACAGCAGTCTGGGTAGGCTCGTGGTGCCAGCGTCCTTCCCACTGCCCACAGGTTTTTTGGCACCAAGTGGATGATGTTCCTGGCTGTGGGCATCTATGCCCTCTTTGTCTCCACCAACTACTGGGAGCGCTACTATACACTCGTGCCCTCAGCCGTGGCCCTGGGCATGGCCATTGTGCCTCTGTGGGCCTCCATGGGCAACTACATCACCAGGTGAGCCTGGTGGGCATCAGGGCGGGAGGCTGGAGACCTGGCTGAGTCTCTGCTGCATTGCCAACCTTAGTTGGGGGACCTTGGGCAGCACTTTCTGCCTTTCGGGCCTCAGTTTCCCCATCCTTGAGACATAGCCCGTAGCCCTGGGTGCAGGAAGCAGAGACATCTGGTAGAGGTCAGACTGGGGGAAGCTTTCTCTCCTTTGTGGTCCAGGATGGCTCAAAAGTACTATGAGTACTCCCACTATAAGGAGCGGGATGAGCAGAGCCCCCAGCAACGCCCACCACGGGGCTCCCACGCGCCATATCTCCTGGTCTTCCAAGCGATCTTCTATAGCTTCTTCCATGTGAGTACCACCTATGGGGCCATTGGGGGAGGGTATTCCAGGCCCAGAACCCACACATTGGAGCCCATCCCACAGTCTTTTCATCCCTCTAATCCCACTGCCCTTTCTTGAGCCCAACCTCTGCTTATTTACCTCTAGTGACTGAGACCTCATCCCCTCCCTGTGCAGGAGAAAGTCCTCCTGCACTGGGCATTCCCTCCTGCCACGAGGCTGCCCCCAGAGGTGGGAGGGCTCCTGTTCTGCCAAGGCTGTGCCCAGACCCCTTCCAGATCATGCCTGTGCCCCCTGTCTGGTTCTGAGCCCAGCCCAAGCTGCCCTCCTGCCCACAGCTGAGCTTCGCCTGTGCCCAGCTGCCCATGATCTACTTCCTGAACCACTACCTGTATGACCTGAACCACACACTCTACAACGTGCAGAGCTGCGGTGAGTCCTCATGGGGTGGGGCCCCCAAGACCTGCTCACCTCCCCCATGCCTGCTCACCTCCCCCATTGAGTCATCCAGCAGACACTGGGCTCTTGAGAGTGCCCAGAGAGGATGCCCTTGCCCACAGGTTCAGGGCTGAGAACCTAGTGGGCAAGGCATAGGGCCCTGTAGGAGTATGCAGTTAGGACATCGGACCCAGCCTCATGGGGACAGGGTGCATCAGGGAAGGCTGCCTGGAAGAGATGCCATCTGGGCTGAGGCTTCTGGGGGCTATCTCTCAGGGCCACACATCCCCTCAGAGCTCAATCACTGCAGGGTGAATGTTTGGGGTTGGGGGGTGGACTGGCACCCCCACTGCCCCGTCCAGCCTGCAGGCACTAGAGCAGCAAGGGGCGGGGGGGCGAGGTGCTCCTCCCTTTGCTGCTCGTCCAGGCCCAGTGGCCCTCACCTCCAAACTGCTTCCCAAATGAACCCTGCCTTTGCAAGCACTGCCCTCGCCCACCACCTCTAACCCTCCCCTCCACCGGCCCACCTTGCTCCATTTCTTTGTGGTTGAGTTTACAGTGTGCTCTATTCCCCATCCCCCACCCGCCTCTCTCCAGGTACTAACAGCCAGGGCATCCTCATTGGCTTCAACAAGACCGTTCTGCGGACGTTACCACGGAGCAGAAACCTCATTGTGGTGGAGAGCGTGCTCATGGCGGTGGCCTTCCTGGCCATGCTGCTGGTGCGGCCCAGGATGGGGTGGGGCAGAGTCAATGAAGTCTGGGGACCGAGACGTGGAGCAAGGGGTGCGATCTGGGCGCATTGCTGGCAGCCTGGGCAAGGTTATGGCTTGAAGTCCTGGTCTGAGCTGGGAGCCAGGGCTGAGTCCTGGGGAGGGGTCCTGAACCTAGTGGTCAGGCTAGAGGCTCGGGCCCGAACCTGGAGTTGGAATCCCAGAGGCCAAGGGGAAGGGAGCCAAGCCTGGTCCGGGGTGGAGCTGGAGACAGGGTCTGAGAGGACTGGGCTGGGGGCGGAACCCGAGAAGCAGAATTAAGGTGTTGGGGGTCTGGGCGTGGCCTCCTCTTGGAGGCGGAGCTGGGAAGCTAGGCCGAGATCTGTGAGTGCGTCTGGGGGCGGGGCCGGGGTTGGGAGGCGGGACCCAGGGCTGTGGGTGTGTCCAGGGCGGGGCCTGGGGCGAGGGGGCCCGCCCACCCTGCCTCCCCGTCCACCCGCTCAGCTCGTGGGTCCGCAGGTGCTGGGCCTGTGCGGCGCCGCCTACCGGCCCACTGAGGAGATCGACCTGCGCAGCGTGGGCTGGGGCAACATCTTCCAGCTGCCCTTCAAGCACGTGCGCGACTTCCGCCTGCGGCACCTCGTGCCCTTCTTTATCTACAGCGGCTTCGAGGTGCTCTTTGCCTGCACTGGTCTCGCCCTGGTAAGGACAGCCTGCACAGCGTACAATACAGGACTTGCGGTTACGTTTGTATCTGGGATAAAAGATGAATAGGTTTTGAATACATGTGTAAGTATGTACAAGTGTGTCCCAGATAGTCGCCTCCCCCCTTCTTCTCTTTCCTGGCTTCCCCCACTCCTCCTCTGCCTTAGGCAACTTAGTTTAAGCTCTCTGCGCCTCAGTTTCCTTCCCTGTGAAGCAATGCCAACAACGATGCTTACTCTCGGAGGTGTTACACCACCGGGATGGGGTAACACGCATAAAGCGTGAGGTTCCAGGTGGGGTGCAGCCTTGGTATCTGGGGGCACTGTCCAAGCCTCTTCTCCCGTCTGTGCCCTCAGAACCTTCCCATGACCCTTAGAGGGAGTTAGCCCTGAGGTGGCCCAGAGAGGACAGCCTGGGCCCGCTGACCTCTAACACTCACCCTCGTCCCCCCCGCAGGGCTATGGTGTGTGCTCGGTGGGGCTCGAACGCCTGGCCTATATCCTCGTGGCTTACAGCCTGGGCGCCTCGGCCTCCTCGGTCCTGGGCCTCCTGGGGCTGTGGCTGCCCCGCACGGTGCCCCTGGTGGCTGGGGCCGGACTGCACCTGCTCCTCACTCTCGGCCTCTTTTTCTGGGCCCCCGCACCTCGGGTCCTGCAACACATTTGGATCCTCTACGTAGCAGCTGTCCTCTGGGGTGTGGGCAGTGCCCTCAATAAGACTGGCCTCAGCAGTGAGTATAGCCGTGGGCGCTGGGATGGCAGGGGACCCTGTGGCTACCCTGGGGTGGTGGGGGAGGAGCACAGACATCCCAGGGACAGACATGGGATCCCATGGCTACCCTGGGGGTCTGTTACGGTGGAGGTAGACACTCACTGACTAAGCTACCCAGGTGCCCCCAGATAGGGCCTTTCTATGGGAAAGAGCTGGGAGCAGGCATGAAGCCCCAACAGTAGTCTGCAGAGTGGCAGGGTGCACGTCCTGAGTCTGAGCTGCTGGCGCAGGGGCATTGGGAAGTAGAGCCCTGTTTGCAGAAAGGAGGGGGTGGGTCACAGTTCAGCGGTGTGATGCGCTCTGCCCACAGGTGGGCACATGCCAGGGACACACAGCTGGTACACGCAGGTGCAGCTCTTTGGGTCTTCCACATCAGCGTCTGTTCTGATGGGCCAGTGCTGTTAACAGTTTTGAACGTCACCCCTGGAGGTGTGATGTGGTGGAGGGCAGGGGCTGGCTCAGGAGACCCCATCAGACCCCCCGTCGGAGAGTCAGCCGTCTGTACTTGTCATCAGGCATGGAGCCCCACACGCCAGGCTACACTCTCTTTGCTGCTCTTCAGAGGCAGCCAGCTCTGGGTAGCATCCAGCCTGGGTAGCTCGGGTCCACGACAAGTCTGGACTTGGGCCTGGACCTGGCATCCCCTTCTGCCTGCCCAGTTCTGCTTCCTGCCTCCCCCTTGTGAACCCTGGGGGCTCCCTGTCCCTTCCCAGCAGCCCCAAGGGGTATAGTCACACTGCAAGGCCTTAGGGCAAGGATGTTAATGTCCCGAGTGAGGGGGCAATTTGCCAGGTGCTGTCTGGGCTTTGCATTAAAACCTCAGAGCACAACATATAATACGTGTCATCTCATTTTACAGGCAGGAAAACTGGCCATGGAGTTAACTTTTTTTTTTTTTAAAGATTATTTATTTATTTGAGAAAGAGATGAGATAGAGCATGAGAGGGGGGAGGGTCAGAGGGAGAAGCAGACTCCCTGCCGAGCAGGGAGCCCGATGTGGGACTCGATCCCGGGACTCCAGGATCATGACCCGAGCCGAAGGCAGTCACTTAACCAACTGAGCCACCCAGGCGCCCGCCTTGGAGTTAACTTACCCTGAGTCAACCCTAGAGCCAACATTTGAATCCTCATCTCTGTACTAATCCTCTGCACTTTACAGTCCTAAGACTAAACTGTGTCTCTGGACTCCCTGTCCACTCTTTCTTCCCACCCCAGGGAGGATTCCTTGAGAAATAGTTCAAACCTCCCAACTTCAGGTCTGATTTGCAGAAAGCTTGTTGCTGCAAGCAGTTTGCCCTCCCTGAGCCCTGGGTGAGGAGAAACAGCCTCCGAAGGCCTGGCATTATGCCCCTGCGGTCCGAGAGAGGACAGGAGATGAGTGCACATAGAGCTTTCCACTCCTGAGGCTGCACATGTTTTCTAGAACTGTACCCCCACAGCTAGGTTCCTGTTCCTGCCTCTGCTCGGCTCCCCAGGCCGCATGACTACCAGGGGGCAGGCTGGGACCTGTTCACAAGGGCTTCCTAGGCATGCCAAGGCCAAGGGCTGAGACTAGCCCAATGCTGGGCCTAGGGCGGGTGCCAGGTGGGAGATCAGCCCCTCTGGGCCCCCGATGACGCCTCTCCCCTTCCTGCCCTGTCCTGCCCGCCTGCAGCACTCTTGGGAATCTTATACGAGGACAAAGAAAGGCAAGACTTCATTTTCACCATCTACCACTGGTGGCAGGCCGTGGCCATCTTCACTGTGTACCTGGGCTCAAGCCTGCCCATGAAGGTGAGCCTGAGCGTGGTGGGAGGAGGGTCTCGGAGGCGTTAGGCACCCCACCTGCCAGCCCCTAGGCCACAGATACTTTCTGAGAGCCCACTGTAGCCTCACAGCCCCGGAAGGGTACCGCTCCCTGAGGGCTGGGTCCTAGGTCAGGCCCACTGAGTGGCCCCAAACCCAGGACCTGCTTTCCGCCTCACTGCCACGGTCCTCAGTTTACCCAGCCCTGAAGGGGTTCAAGTTTTCTCTTTCCTGGTGGGTGCCTCCCAGCCACCTTGCAGGTCGTTTGATGACCTGTTCACCAGATGTCAGCTCTGAGCTGTCCCTTCCTGGCCGGCAGGGAGCAGGCTTCCTCGTTCTCTGCTCCCACCTACTGGTGGGTCAGTTTAGCAGGTCCCCACCAGCATTTGAAAAAACGAAATAGAGGAGAGCAGGGAATATGGTGCTTAGATGTGTGTATGTATTGTTATGATGGGGAATTCTATTTGGCTGTGGGTTACGGTCAAAATCCTCGGAAAAGCATTTCTTATGGTCCCTGCGTGTCAGGGACACAGTGGTCTTAGCCCCAGTGAAGGGTGGAGCTGGGCTTTGAGCCTTACCGGTGCGGAGGGTGCGGAGCTGTCGGGACAGAAGAGGAGCTGCACGGGGAGGTGCGGGACGCGAGTGGGCCTGCCCGCCAGGGGCCGGCCCGGAAAGGCGCGGGCTCGGTGGCCGGCGGGTCGCCTGCATCCGGTCCGTGCCCGCAGGCCAAGCTGGTGGTGCTGCTGCTGACGCTGGTGGCGGCCGCGGCCTCGTACCTGTGGATGGAGCAGAAGCTGCAGCGGGGCGTGGTCCCGCGCCAGCCCCGCATCCCGCGGCCGCAGCACAAGGTGCGCGGCTACCGCTACCTGGAGGAGGACAACTCCGACGAGAGCGACGCGGAGGGCGAGCACGGCGGCGGCGGCGGCGGCGGCGGCGGCCCGGCGGACGGCGTGGAGGAGGAGGCGCCGCCCGCGGGGCCCCGGCCCGGCCCCGAGGCAGCCGGCCTCTGCCGCCGGCCCTGCCCCTACGAACAGGCCCTGGGAGGCGACGGGCCCGAGGAGCAGTGAGCCTCGGTTTACCGCGTCTCGGGGGGGGGGGCGGGGGGCGCTGTGACTCCGCCATCTTCAGGAAGGACCTTCCCCCCGGACCGCAGGTTCCAGAATGTCCCGCGGGAGCGGCCCCTCCTACGCGGTGTGGAGCTTTAAGACCCCTGGGCCCGGCCTAGGGTTGGAGACGCAGCACAGCTGACTCTCCCCCGCTCCGGGGCCACTCTCCACGACCCCTGCCCAGGTCGGAGAGGGAACGGGGTCCTCCTGCCGCAGCTCCCCCCCCCCCAGTCCCAACCCAGCGCAGCTCTCCGCGACGGGCCTCGGCAGGGCGTGTCGCGCGCTTTGCACATCCTATCCCCGCGGTCCGTCAAGGGGCACGACTTTTTATAGAAAATGAGAAATAAAGAGGTTTTGTATTATCCGACTGGGACGTGTCAGTCTGTGGGGGTAAGGAGCGCCCCGGATGTGCGCCCGCTGACCTGCTGGGCCACTGATTTCGGACCCCCTGGACCCCCCGCGGAGGGGGAGGATCCCCTAAGCCCCGCCCATCGGGCCGCCCCCTGGAAGCCCCGCCCCCACCCCACCCCTGCTTGGTTTTGCCAGTGCCACCCCCATCCCCCCGGGACACAAGCCCCTGGGTTGGCCTGCAGGGGCCGCAGCGGAGAGTGTGAGGGGGCTGCCTGTTCGATATTTCTTTATTTCTTTTAGCCGAGGAGCACTGTGGAAAATTACTGAGCACCAGGGGTGCCAGGAACTGAGATTGGTGGGCACACCCTGGGTTAGTGGAGAGCTGGCACAGAGAAAGCGCTCAACGACTGTCAGCCATCGTGTACCTATAGTGAGTCCCTCACTGGACCCTGGGGTACCCCTTGCCCAGAGGACCGGCTGCATTCTTTCTGGGCCCAGTACTAGCGAAGGTGAGATCTGTGGTCTGTGACTCCTGAGAAGTGCCCCCGGCCCCCCCCAGTCCCGGGTCTCTGCAAACCAACATAAGCCAGTTACCAGGTTGTCTGGCAAATTCTGGGGTCCTGCAGTCATGGAGGACAGGGAAGGCGACAGCTATAGCCAGGGCCACAGGTCGCCTCCCCCAGCCTCCCTACCAGGTGGCTTGCATGCTTAGGCGAGTGAAGAACCAAAAGCTTCCTCCCTGATCCCTCAGACTTTCACTGACTAGCAGACCCAGAAAGGGTTGCATCATGTGACCTGTAGCCCCAGTGAGTGCCCGCACTGTCCTTCCATTTCCCCATCAGCATCTGGGTGGAAAGTTCTCTGGCAGCAGATGTGACAACATCCACCTGGCAGTATTCCAGCTAAACTCTGGTCAGACCTGGGCAATCAGACACTTGGATAATAAGCTTCTGAATGCAGGACTGGGTGCTATTCAGAGGAGTGTGGACCCCTGGGTGTGCTGGGCAAGGTGGAGAGGGGGCAGGAATAGGCCTACAATTGGTCACACTCCAGAGTCATTTCTAACATCCATCTGGATGCTAGACAAAGACTCTGATGTTGAACAGATGGGAAGGTGGCCCAGGAACGGGGAGCTGCCACTTGGGAGGGGAGCATGGTTTCTGATCACACCCCTCGTGGCAGGTGAGTTCCCCATTAGAAGACTTCACACACCCCCTCGCTGCTCCTGGCACGTGGACGAGACCCACACACGGACCCATGACAGGCAACGCACACGCACACGTGTCAGGCGACACATGAAGGCAACACGCAGATACACATTACAGGCACTGCCATGTGCTCACACACGTAACAGGCCACCCCCGTGACCAGCTACACACACGCAGCCACGACGGGCGGTGAAACTGCTCACAGCAGCAAACCCCGGCAGGCTGGCCCTTCCGAGGCTGGGCTAATTGAGCCGTGACACGTCGACGCCCAGCCCCTTGGCAGCTCCAGGTCTGGCTGTAAGCTATGACATTGGTACCATGTCCCCTCGTCTCTGTCACCTCTGGATAAAATGACCGGGCGCAGTTTCTGGACCCCAAGTGGAAGGAAGATCCGACTCTGTGTCGGGGCTATCGTTGCTCTGACCCTGACCGCCATCATTGCTCCAAAAGCGGCCCTGCAATTTTTGTCCCTCTGCACCAGGAAGATTTTTATTTTTTATTTTTAAAAAATATTTATTTACTTGAGAGAGAGTGTGCGTGTGCACGAGTCAGGGGAGGGGGAGAGGGAGAGAGAATCCTCAGACTCCCTGCTGAGTGCAGAGCCTGGACCCAGACCTGAGCCACCCAGGAACCCCAGGAAGACTTTTAAATTAAATGACTCAAGAATCTACCGTCTAAGATCTGAATGATCTTTAACTTCTCAGCAGTAGGTTAGATAGCCATTCTCCTTAGAAACACCAAGGGAGGCTGGATAAGAAATAAGCTTTTTTTTAGATATGTAGCTGAGCTCTTGAGAAAGTAAGCAGAATTCTCCAGGGCCCAAACTGAAGAGGAATTGGAACCCATGGGGCGCCTGGGTGGCTCAGTTGGTTAGGCGACTGCCTTCGGCTCAGGTCATGATCCGGAGTCCCGGGATCGAGTCCCACATCGGGCTCCCTGCTCGGCGGGGAGTCTACTTCTCCCTCTGACCCTCCCCCTCTCATGCTCTCTCTCTCTCTCCCATTCTCTCTCTCAAATAAATAAATAAACTCTTTGAAGAGGAATTGGAACCCAGATCAGGGAGAAGAGACGCTGGAGCTGCGGCTACCGGGGTGGGAGGGACTGGGCTCTGATCCATGGGCCACATGCTGAGGGCCGCCACACTTACCAGGCAGGGGATTGGTATTAAGGCCACGCAGAAAGCTGGGACCATGGAGAAGCAACACTTTCAGGGAAAGGGATAGAAGAAATTCCACCCACAGACACATAAAGATGTAAGGAACTTCGGGATCTGGGTGGGGAAAAAAGTTTCCCTTGAGAGTTTTGTATTTGTAGGCATGTTTTAGAAAAGTTTAGAGTGCCTACAAAGGAGGCTCCCCATCTGTATGGTCTAGGAACCCTAAAATTGAGAAATTAACATTAAAAAGTAGTTATGGCTTGGGGCGCCTGTGTGGCTCAGTCGGTTAAGTGTCCACCTCTTGATTTCGGCTCAGGTCATGATCTCAGGGTTGTGAGATCGAGCCCTGCATCAGGCTCCGTGCTCAGGGGGGAATCTGCTTGAGATTCTCTCTCTCCCTCTGTCCCTCTCCCAACTCACATGTGCGCACACATAGGCACCCACGGACACGGCATAAAATATATTCATCACATAGTAAACAGTAAAAGGATTCCCTAAAGAGAAGGCTCAGTGTGTCTGGAATGAAGCAAGAATGAGAAGCGAGGGCGCCTTGGGAGCTTTGCTTTGGTTAAGGGGGAACCGGAGCTGGGGGTCCCGTGGGCAGCCTGGAGCTTTGGTGGCGTGAGAGGGACCTGCAAAGCTACGGCGTGAGTGAAGGTGGAAAATATTCAGCTCAGCGAAAGAAGCTGGACACAAAGGGCCACATAGTATAGTATCCCATCTGTGTGAAAAAGTCCAGAGGAGGCAAGTCCCTGGAGACAGAAAGCAGATTTATGGGGGCCAGGGGCCGGCGGGTGGGGAGAATGAGTGACTGCTGATGGGTCTGGGGTTTCTCTCTGGCGTGATGGCAATGTTCTAAAAGTAGATGGTGGTGATGGTGACACAATTCTATGAATATACTGAAAGCCACTGGATTATATGTACAAGGATTATCCATTACAAGAATTAATTTTAATTAATTTTAGTGCATGCGAATTGTATTTTAGTAAAGCTGGTATTGAAAGGAAAGGAATCTGACATACAATGT